GAGAGTTCTGTACGTATTCCACTTGTGAATCGTTTTTTATATGTACATAATGTGAATATTTTCTCCCATTCAGTGGTCTGCCTTCAGTGTGAATCTATCTAATCTCTGTTCTGCTGTTGGTGTATGTGTCTGTTTTCCTCAGAACCAAATGGTCTTGATTACTGTAGATTTACAGTATGTGTCCTAAAATCAATAGGGTAAGTTCTTTGACTTTTGTTCTTTTTATTAATGTTGTTGTGGCTAATGAATTTCCTTATTACAGTTTTAAAAATCAGTTTATCAATTTCTGTGGAAAAAGAAAATTTGGGATTAGAGTTAGGATTATGTCAAATCTACACATCAGTTTGGGGAGAACTGACATCTTAATATTGAGGCTTCTAATCCATGAACATGGGAAATCTTTTTTATTTTTAATATCTTAGCAATCTGTGGTTTTCAATGTATAGATTTCATATGTCTTGTTATTGCTTTTTCTTTTTTTGAAATGGGCTCACTCTGTCACCCAGGCTGGAGTGCAATGACGATCCTGGCTCACTGCAGCCTCAAGCACCTGGGCTTAAGCCATCCTCCCATCTCAACCTCCTGAGTCACTGGAACCACAGATATGTGCCACCATGCCTATTTAATTAAAAGCCAGGCGCAGTGGTTCACGCCTGTAATCCCAGCACTTTGGGAGGCCAAGGCGGGCAAATTACAAGGTCAGATCAAGACCATCCTGGCCAACACCCCGTCTCTACTAAAATACAAAAAATTAGCCGGGCGTGGTGGTGCACACCTGTAGTCCCAGCTACTCAGGAGGCTGAAGCAGGGGAATCCCTTGAACCCAGGAAGTGGAGGCGGCAGTGAGCTGAGATCGAGCCACTGCACTCCAGCCTGGGTGACAGAGCAAGACTCCATCTCAAAAAAATAACAAAATGAAAATTAGCCAGGTGTGGTGGTACGCACCTGTAGTCCTAGCTTACTCCTGAGGCTGAGACAAGGGAAGTGCTTGAGCCTGGGAGGCAGAGGTTGCAGTGAGTTGATGATTTAGGATTTTTCTTCTCAGTCGCTTTGCAAGCCGGGGACCTCTGGCCAGTGACACCCCGCTTGGCCATGCTGGCATACCCCAACTCACCTGTGTTACAGTTTGTACCATGTTTGGTGGTTCCCGAGCTCTTGTACCACACCCAAGAATAAGGAAACACTGGACATTGAAGGGTAAGGAGGGCAGAGAAGAATTTTATTGAGCAGTGAAATAGCTTTCAATGGACAAGAGATGCAGGGGTGGTCCCCTGTCCGAAGGTGGGAAAGTCTCCCTGTGTGGCTGGGTCTGGGGCCTTTTATGATACGGAGGCTGATGGGTTCGTGAGTATGCAAAAAAGGGTAAAGCAAAGACACTATTCAAAAGTGAGCATGACAGTGCAGAAAGCCAATTAGGAGGCCGGGCGCAGTGGCTCACGCCCGTAATCCCAGCACTTTGGGAGGCTGAGGCAGATGGATCAGGAGTTCAAGACCAGCCTGGCCAATGTGGTGAAACCCCGTGTCTACTAAAAATACAAAAATTAGCCAGGTGTGGTGGCAGGTGCCTGTAGTCCCAGCTACTCGCGAGGTGGAGGCAGAAGGATTGCTTGAACCCACGAGGCAGAGACTGCGAAAGAAAACCGATTAGGACAGGCTAGATATGTATAAAATGGTGATGGGTAGGATCAAGCAGAGGAAAGTGCGGCAAACAGGACAACAAGTTCTCAACCTAGTCCAAGTTTAACTGTCTTTGGCTTGGACGTGGCTTCCCCGGGCCCGGCTCCATCTGCCTGGGCCTTCTGCTGCCTCCTGCCACTATCACTGAGCTCACACCCAGCACTCCAGTCTGGGCAACACAGTGAGACTCTGTCTCAAAAAAATCCACATCTAGGCCTGGAATTTTCTATGGGGTAGGTTTTTTTTATTACAAATATAACTTTATTAACAGATGCAGGGCCGGGCACGGTGGCTCAAGCCTGTAATCCCAGCACTTTGGGAGGCTGAGGCGGGTGGATCACAAAGTCAAGAGATCGAGACCATCCTGGTCAACATGGTGAAACGCTGTCTCTACTAAAAATACAAAAAATTAGCTGGGTATGGTGGCGCGTGCCTGTAATCCCAGCTACTCAGGAGGCCGAGGCAGGAGAATAGCCTGAACCCAGGAGGCGGAGGTTGCGGTGAGCCGAGGTTGTGCCATTGCACTCCAGCCTGGGTAACAAGAGCGAAACTCTGTCTCAAAAAATAAAAAATATGGTGGCTCATGCCTGTAATCCAGCCTGGGCTACAAAGTGAGACTTTGTCTCAAAAAAAAAAAAGGAGTACTTGAAGTTTTCTGCTATCTTACTCCTGGGTTTCCAGTTTATAGCTGTTAAGTTGGGGAGTGTACTGTTTATGATTTCTTTCCATTTAAACTTCTTGAAACCAGTTTTAAGCCCTAATAGGTGGTATGTCTTGGTCAATATACAATGTTCACTTAAAAATAACATATTCTATAGATGTTGGGTGTTCTATGAATATCAGGTCACGGTGGTAGATGGTGGGTGTTCTGTAAGTATCAGGTCATGGTAGATGGTGGGTGTTCTGTGAGTATCAGGTCACAGTGGTAGATGGTGGGTGTTTTGTGAGTATCAGGTCACGGTGGTAGATGGTGGGTGTTCTGTGAGTATCAGGTCACAGTGGTAGATGATGGTGTTCTGTGAGTATCAAGTCACAGTGGTAGATGGTGGATGTTCTGTGAGTATCAGGTCACGGTGGTAGATGGTGGTGTTCTGTGAGTATCAGGTCACGGTGGTAGATGGTGGGTGTTCTGTGAGTATCAGGTCACGGTGGTAGATGGTGGTTTTCTGTGAGTATCGGGTCACGGTGGTAGATGGTGGGTGTTCTGTGAGTATCGGGTCACGGTGGTAGACGGTGGGTGTTCTGTGAGTATCGGGTCACGGTGGTGGATGGTGGGTGTTCTATGAGTATCGGGTCACGGTGGTAGACGGTGGGTGTTCTATGAGTATCAGGTCACGGTGGTGGATGGTGGGTGTTCTATGAGTATCAGGTCACGGTGGTAGACGGTGGGTGTTCTATGAGTATCAGGTCACGGTGGTAGATGGTGGGTGATCTGTGAGTATCAGGTCCCTGTGGTAGATGGTGGGTGTTCTATGAATATCAAGTCATGGTTGTAGATGTTGGGTGTTCTGTGAGTATCAGGTCCCTGTGGTAGATGGTGGGTGTTCTGTGAGTATCAGGTCACAGAGGTAGATGGTGGTGTTCTGTGAGTATCAGGTCACGGTGGTAGATGGTGGGTGTTCTGTGAGTATCAGGTCACGGTGGTAGATGGTGGTGTTCTGTGAGTATCGGGTCACGGTGGTAGATGGTGGGTGTTCTGTGAGTATCGGGTCACGGTGGTAGATGGTGGGTGTTCTGTGAGTATCGGGTCACGGTGGTGGATGGTGGGTGTTCTATGAGTATTGGGTCACGGTGGTAGACGGTGGGTGTTCTATGAGTATCAGGTCACGGTGGTGGATGGTGGGTGTTCTATGAGTATCAGGTCACGGTGGTAGACGGTGGGTGTTCTATGAGTATCAGGTCACAGTGGTAGATGGTGGGTGATCTGTGAGTATCAGGTCCCTGTGGTAGATGGTGGGTGTTCTATGAATATCAAGTCATGGTTGTAGATGTTGGGTGTTCTGTGAGTATCAGGTCCCTGTGGTAGATGGTGGGTGTTCTGTGAGTATCAGGTTATGGTGGTAGATGGTGGGTGTTCTGTATCAGGTCACATTTTTAGGGGCTGGTTGTTCTGTGAATATCAGGTCACGGTGGTAGATGTTGGGTGTTCTATGAATATCAGGTCATGGTGGTTGATAGTGTTGTTCAGAACATCAATGTTTTTCCTGATTCTATTTTTGGTCTGTTCTATCAATTTCTGAGAAAGGTATTAAAATTAGAGTTGCGTCTTGCATTTTTATTCATTCTGGCAGTTCCTTTTATTGAAGTTTTTTGTCTACTAGCATTAAATTTAATTATTGATATGTTTGGATTTAGAGCTACCAACTAATTTTCTATTTGTTTCCTATGTTAAGAGTTTCATTTTCATTTTTCTTTCTTGAGATGAAGTCTCACTCTTGTCACCCAGGCTGGAGTGCAGTGGCGCGATCTCAGCTCACTGCAACCTCTGCCTCCTGGGTTCAAGCATTTCTCCTGCCTCAGCTCCTAAGTAGCTGGGATTACAGGTGCCTGCCACCACGCCCAGCTGATTTTTGTGTTTTTAGTGGAGATGGGGTTTCATCATGTTTGCCAGGCTGGTCTCGAACTCCTGACCTCAGGTGATCTTCCTGCCTCGGCCTCCCAAAGTGCTGGGATTACAGGCATGAGCCACTGTGCCTGGCCTCATTTTCATTTTTCTTTTAAGTTTTCAGCTTATACCGCTTTGCTGATGCTTTTTTTTTTTAGATGGAGTCTCGCTCTGTAGCCCAGGCTGGAGTGCAGTGGCATGATCTCAGCTCACTGCCACCTTTGCCTCCCAGGTCCCAGGTCCTGGTTCAACCGCTTTACATTTTTTATGCAGAGGTTGCTTTAGGGATTACAATATTCATGTTTAATTTAATTTTGTTTTTTTAAGGAATAGGATCTCACTCTGTCTCCTGCGCTAGAGCGCAGTGGTGTGATCATAGCTCACTGCAGCCTCAGACTCCTGGGCTGAAGCGATGCTCTCACCTCAGCCTCCCAAAGTGTTAGGATTACAGGTGTGAGCCACTGCACCCAGCCTGCAGTATGTAGCTCTAACTCTTCAGGATCTGCTTGGGGTAGCCATATTGTAGCCCTCTGTCCCCCATTTAGGACTGTCTCTTACACGCCTGCATGCCATGGGGTCTGTGTGCACATTGTAAACTCCACGAGGCGGCGTTTGATTCTTGTGCCTCGAATGGTCTTAGGGAATAAAGTCCATCAGCTCTGCACTTGGTAATTTGATCTATACTTTGTGATCCTTTCTATTTATTTTTTTCTTCTAGATTAGCCTAACATGGCAGACCAGCGACAGCGCTCACTGTCTACCTCTGGGGAATCGCTGTACCACGTTCTTGGGCTGGACAAGAACGCAACCTCAGATGACATTAAAAAATCCTATCGGTAAGTGGACAAGTGTGGGCCCCACATCCCCACAGAAAGACACAGATGCCCCGTGTGGTTTAGTGCGCATTTTACGAAGAACCATTGCATATACTTTATCCTGGCTGATTGAGCATTTAACTGGTCACAGCTCTATAACACCTTTGTATGTGTAATATGCTCCTTATAGCTTAAAATTATTATATTCATGTTCTCTTGTCAACAAAAAATAGCACTTAGTAGTTACTAACTGTTCACGGCTCCACAGGGAATCAGGGTCAGAACCTGTTTCGGGACCCCCAGGCAGGAGCAGGCAGAACTTTGGTGTGGTCCAGATGGTCCAGTGGTCTCCTTGTTTTAGCACAGTGATGACAGAGACCCCACGCTGCTGTGACCTTTTCTGATTGAACTTGAAGAACTGCACTGTTAGGTACAGTTTCATTGAGTAACCTAAAAGACAGACAACATCACTAATCCAGACCATTCAGGTCGTCCTCCTTTTGTCTGTGAGCGTTGTGTAGTTCAGAAAGCACATATTAAAAGGCCATCATTACACCCCGCCATGCTTACCATTCGCTTGGCACATGTGCGGTTAGTGGGCTGGGACAGCAGGGCTGGCCTTGGTGCTTCAGAGCTCAGGTTGCCCAGACCCTCCCTGCCCTTGGGGCTCCCTCCTCTGAGGCTGGGTCAGGGTGGGAGGTTTAACTGAAACGACTGTAGCTCTTGCTTCTGTCCCTGGCCTCTGCAACCCCGGAGAGTCGGACAGTGAGGTGGCCTGGGTAGACATTCCTTCTGCCGCACCCTGCAGTGGATGCAGGTGAGACAGAAGGCCAGGACAGAGCCAGGACATGGTTTTGGTTTGCAGGAAACTTGCCTTGAAATATCACCCCGACAAGAACCCTGACAACCCGGAGGCTGCAGACAAGTTCAAGGAGATCAACAACGCCCACGCCATCCTGACGGACGCCACAAAAAGGAACATCTACGACAAGTACGGCTCACTGGGGCTCTACGTGGCTGAGCAGTTTGGGGAAGAGAACGTGAACACCTACTTCGTGCTGTCCAGCTGGTGGGCCAAGGTGAGGGGCAAGCTGCCTGCGTGCGGGCACTGAGGTCACTCCATGCCTGCAGGGTTTCCGGCACTGAGGAGGCCATGTATTTGATTCCAGCACTCTGCACTCCTGAGAAATGGTTTCTGGGCATATGGAGCCTTTCTCCACACCCTGCATGATGGGCGGAGTGTGTCACTGACTTGATGTCCTGCCTGGAACAAGCCAAAGTGCACAGATTGCCCCAAGGAAGAGCCGTGTGGAGCCACCAGATTCTCTTCTGTAGATGCTCCCAGTCCTTCACAAGATAGAGGAGGAAATCAGCCTTGATGTTGATGTTGTAGTGATGTTTCTTCATTTCCTTGTTTTGTTCCAAGTGTCTGTCACATGTAAGGCCAGTGAGTTTGAATGACCACATGGCCTTTGTGAGAAGTCTGTATTTGAGTTTGACTTGTTGTCAAAGTCACTTGTATCTTTATAAAGCGTTTTTATTTAGTTAGTTTTAGAGACAGAGTCTTGCTCAGTTGCCCAGACTAGAGTGCAGTGGTAAATTCCTAGCTTGCTTTTTTTTTTTTTTTTTTTTTTTTTGAGATGGAGTCTTGCTCTGTCACCTAGGCTGGAGTGCAGTGGTGCAATCTTGACTCACTGCAACCTCTGCCTCCTGGGTTCAAGTGATTCTCATGCCTCAGCCTCCCCAGCAGCTGGGATTACACGTACCTACCACCACACCCAGCTACTTTTTTATGTTTTTGGTAGAGATGGGGTTTTACCATGTTGGCCAGGCTGGTCTTGAACTGACCTCAGGTGATCTCCGCCTCAGACTCCCAAAGTGTTTGGATTACAGGCATGAGCCACTGTGCCCGGCTGACTCTAGCTTACTTTCACCTTCAACTCCTGGGTTCAAGTGATGCTCCCACTTCAGGCTCCCGAACTGCTGGGATTATAGGTGTGAGCCCCCATGCATAGCCTGCAGGCTGCTTTTCTTGAAGCAGTGGATTTCGTTCTGTATCTCCCCTCGTCCCTTCCTCACTTCTTTCCTTTTGCTTCCTGTCTGGAAGGCAGTGTCCCTACCTGTCCGCCCCCTGCCTTATGCTGGGGGCGTTCGGGAGCCCTGCCCTCTCCAGGGGCCTTGGAGGCTGTGCGATGCCACCTTCTTCTCCCCCCAGGCCCTGTTTGTCTTCTGCGGCCTCCTCACGTGCTGCTACTGCTGCTGCTGCCTGTGCTGCTGCTTCAACTGCTGCTGCGGCAAGTGTAAGCCCAAGGCACCCGAAGGCGAGGAAACGGAGTTCTACGTGTCCCCTGAGGACCTGGAGGCACAGCTGCAGTCCGATGAGAGGGGTGAGTACCCGCCCTAGGGCCCGAGTGTGTGTATGGGGCAGAGCCAGACTGGGCCCTGAATGTGTCAACCTGTCTTGTCAAACAGGAGGGCACTGACACTGTGCCGCGAGTGTTTGTGGTGGCATCTGGGACTGTTGAGGTGTGAACGTGGACCCTGAGGTAAAGCAGGCGCATAGAGCTGTCCCCACCGTGACCTGACCTGCGGTAGCCGTAGAGCCCAGGGACTGCGAGGCGGGGCAGGGCGGCAGGCAGGCGGGGCGGGCTGAGGGCCGAGGGCTGGCGGTGACCCAAGGCCGCGGAGGAAAGCTGTGCGGGGTGGAGGTCAGCGAGTAGCCTCTCCCCGTGAGCGTTTGTCCAGGTGCCTGAAAGTCATCCCGCAGGACCAGTGTTGGTGGCACCCGCCAGGCTGCGGCCCTTGTGCAGTGCGCTGTGTGCTTGCTTTTCAGAGGCCACAGACACGCCGATCGTCATACAGCCGGCATCTGCCACCGAGACCACTCAGCTCACAGCCGACTCCCACCCCAGCTACCACACCGACGGGTTCAACTAAAGCTGGGAGCAGCTGTGGTCAGGGGATGAGCCAGCACTGGCCACGCCAACCTTAGAATCATGAACTGTAGTCACAGATGGGAAGGCGGCCTTTTGCCTGCCCTGGCCATGCCCCTCCTGCCTCCACGCCCACCCAGCGTCGACCCTTGACCCACGAAGTGCGTAGCATGCAGTATTTAAAGCAGTGTAGCTACGATCTTCTGTTCTTTTTCCTTTTTTAATAGCATGTGCGGGGTTCTGTTCCATGTCTGTGTTGTGGACGTTCCGCGGCTTGGCCGTGTTAACCACACAGTGGAGCTGCCTCCCGGCTTTCGGTCAGGGCGGTCCAGTGAGGGGTGACAGCAGCTGGTCAGGCGGGGGCAAGGAGAACGGGGCTTCCCTTCCTCCCTGTGCTGGAGGGGCCGGAGGCAGGTGATGCCTGGCAGACCTATGTTACCATCCTGGCCTCGGGGTCTTAGCCACACGCTGTGCTCCCAGCCTTGAGCAAGTGGCCGCAGGGCCCTCCTCCTGCCTGAAGGGGCGGGGCACGTCCTCCCTGCGTCACCATCATTCCTTGGTATCTGGTGGATGCAGTTGGCTTGGGGACTGTGGTTTCCCGGGCCTTGTGGCAGGGTTTCTCCCGTGGGTGAATTTGGTGTGGAAAGCGTCAGAGGCCCTTCTGAGGTGGATGCTACGTCCTCTGCACAGTATTCTAACCTGGGTCTCCTTGTTGCGTGGACTCTGCGGTTTAGGTCCTTGGAGGTGTGTCCTTCGCCCTCGTTGGGGTTGTCTGTCTGTGTTCCTGCATTTTTCTGGGGCTGTGAGCTGGATCAATGGGGCCAGTCTCCCCTTTCCCAGTCCTGGGGTCATTTTCCACATTCCTTCCAGCCCACCAGTCCTTTCTGGAGCCCTTTTTGGACCTTTAGAGCCACAGATGGTAGGACCAGCCTGAGGAGCCACAGTCAGTAGATCGTGCATGTGTGAGCACCCAGTTGCTGGGGATGGCGGCTCTCCCAAGACCTCTCCTCCCGTGTTTGCCAGAGCTCCTGTCTGCCCCACCTGCCTTTGCCCGTCATCGATGATTCGGGCAGAGCCAGATTCGTTAGGTCCCTGGAGGAAGGACTGACTGGACCAGAGGGACCCTCCAGCTCAGGGTCCCTCAGGAGGGTTGGGTCCCTGGGAGGCCAGCAGCCAGACCACGGAATCCACATGTGGATCATTGAAAGTCAGTCTTGTCCATCCTAGACCTTGTAGGTGGTGCCCGGAGTAGGGGAGTGAGCCTGTGCTGGCCGAGGGCTCAGAGCTGCCCCCGCCTCGGTGGCTCTTGGGATGTGCTTGGCCTGCCCTTGGCCCAGTGCTGCAGACTCCAGTGGGCCTGGTTTCTGCAGAACATCCACGATGGCTGCCGTAGAGTTCCCAGTAGAGATGAAGCTGAGGAAGAGGCTGTGTGTTTTGGCTCTGGCTTAGACCAACCAGATGAGCCTCCTGCAGCTCCCTTTCCCTGCCTGTCTGCTTACTCGTGGCCACAGCTCACTCATTGCCCTCAGCAGCCCACCCAAGGCTGTGTGGAGGGGTAGGTTCAGGGTGACCAGGAAGTTGCCAGAAGGGGCATGGATGTGAGGCAGATGTGGATGTGCTTAGAAGTGGTTCCGGTCCTTGGCGCTGGCTGCTCCCGGCTGTCCCCGACTGCAGATCCTGCGTGGGCTGTGAGCCGGCTGCCAGCACTGGGTCCTGGGTGGTTGTGTTTGTCCCACTTTTCTTTGTTTTTTTCTCACTAAAATGATCATGAAGACATTTGATGAGGAGAAAAACACACTGCGATATTAAGTCAGAAATAATTTGTCAAAATTGGACCTCTCCTAAAAGAATAAGGGACTCACTGTTTGGCCCATCCTGAGTAAGAGGCAGTGAGACAGTGAGAGCTTCCATGCCACTCAACATAGCAACAAGGTCAGCCTGGGAGGCTGGCCATAGGCAGCCTTTGCAATTTTTATCAATGTAACTTAGGAAGTGAGTTATTTTCCCCCAGACTGGCCAAGAGCCAGGTTCTAAGCCCGGAACTAAGGTAGAAAGCTGCCTGTCCAGGGCTGGATCAGCCCCACAGGCCCTCTGTCGGCTCACACAGCTCTGGCTAGAACCCTTCACAGCCCTTTGGTACCATCAGAGCAGGCCGCCTGCCAGGTGGGTTTTCAGTTACAGAGTCCAATGGACCATTTTTTAGAACCCTGCCGCTCTCCAAAGAGGGTGGGGTAGGGCGGGGGAGAGGAGCAGGTCTGAAGGATTGTGGAACCCAGTCCCCTGCAGAATTTGTAAGACCTAAATAAATAAATCATGCCCATGACAATTCTCACGGTAGTGATTGTGATTGGAAGACCCCCAGGAACCGCAGACCCTCGGATCTGGAGTTCCTCTCACTGCCTGACCTGGAAACAAACTCTGTTTTCCCTGTTCTGCACTGTTGGCTTTAAGACCTGGTCTTAATTCAAGGAAAAAGATACTCCTGGGTTTTATTTCTCTGTTTTCTTGAGTAGACCATGATCCTGTCAATTAAAAGAGGTGATGAGTCCCTGGGGGCAGCTTACAGGCTTCCCTGTCCACATGCTAACTGACCAGAATGCCCCAACACCCCAGCCTGCTGGTGGCAGTGACAGGAGCTTCCTGCCTCCATACTCTTGGGCTGCGGGCGATGAGTGAGCGAGTGCGGCCTGGGCATAGAGCAGCCCATCAGGCGCGGCTGCCAGGGGCCTGCTGGGGTCATTGTGCTTCAGGGCCTGTCTGGCTCACGAGGAGTCCAGGTAATACGGCCAGCCCCGGACCTGCAGGAGGTGTGGGAGTGGCTTCATGGCCCTTTCACAGCAGCTGCTGGTGTGGAGATTTGTCCCTACTCGGTGACCTGGGATTTTTGTCTTCCTTTTGGCTTTATTTTTAAACTGCTTTAGATATTACTGTTCAGTGTTTATGAACTTGCCTAGTTCTGATGTTATGTTAATGCAGCCGGCACCCAGTGGGGACCTATTAGAAAAAGAAACTGGTGTGTGTGCACGCCTAGCAGGACACGTCATCTCCCTGTCTGCTGTTGCCACTGTCCAGGGAAGACCCTGGAGCCTCAGGTGGCTGAGACTGCTCTCAGGTGCTGCGTGTCCCCTGCCAAGCCCAGGGCACCTGTTCGAGCTGGGCCGGGTGCTGTGGCTGGAGGGTCTGGATGCTGTGGGCAGAGCTCAACTGGGTCTTGTCCACCTCCCTTCGCTCTGACTCAGTGCATCCTACTGTGGGGCATCTCCTGAGGGGACACCAAGTGACTGATCTCACCCTTTCCTAGTATTTGGAGCTGTGAACCCATGTGGTGCAGAATTGACCCGTACCTGTTATTTTGATTGTGAATCATCCTTCTGTGGAATTGGCAAAAGCTACATTTTTACTGTCCTTACCAGCAACGGTTCGCGTTGTCATATGCTGTGAGTGTGGGCTGTGATGTGTCCATGTGTGTACATATGTGTATATGTATATATCACGCAGCAAGCGTGTCGTGCTGCTGTCAGCGGGCAGCAACAAGTACAATAAAAGGCGGCTCTCAAATGGCCTCTGGTTCTGGACGAGTTGGGCAGGGACGTGCAGGAGGCCTTCCTGGCAGGTGCACAGAAGGGCCGGCTGAGCCCACTGTGTGCAGTGTGCATGTGCCCAGGGCACTGCCATGACCCTACCAGTATTGGCCTCTGGTCTGCGGGGTCGGGTGCCCATCCTGGGGGCTCTGTGTCCCGTGTGAAATCTAGGAGGTGACTGGAAACCCTTCCCTCCCTTGAAACATTAAAGCCAATTTTCTAAGCAACAGATACAATCAGTGGCAAAGCTTCATCTGGAGGGCAGCCTGGGAAGGGGACCTGTCCTGGCCCCAGGTCCATCCCAGAGGAGTTCACACAGCACCACACTCCAGATGGGGCTGGGCTTGGGGTCCTGCCAGCGGCACCTTTTGGTAGATTTTGTTTTCCTGGATATTGGGGAGATGTTTCAAGCCAGGTGGGGGAAGAAGTTAACACTGAAGTATGTATTGTTTTTAAAAATCCAGTGCAAACGCATGGAAGCTGCTTGTCCATGCCCTGGTTTTGTTGCTGGCGCCCTGGAGTCCGACCGTGTTAGGTGCAGGTGCTGTCGGTCCTCTGGCTGACCTGGCCCGGGCTTACACTTCCAAGGGCCAGGCTGGTTTCGCATGGTGATCTCTGTCTTGTATGTCTGAATGTTGGCCTAAAATAAAGATCACGTTGTAAAACAAATGTTTTCACTGCAGACCCCACGTGTCTTATTTACTGGTCCTGCAGATCCCTGGTTTTGGAGAGTCTAGCAGTTGACCTTAGGAGCCCCCTGCACCCCTTGTGGCTGGAACCTCACTTCCCTCCTGCCTGGTCCAAATGTGGACAAACGCTCCCATCCGCTTGGTTCTCTTTTCACCTCCATTTTTTCTTTCTTTTGAGACGGAGTTTTGCTCTGTCACCCAGGCTGGAGTGCAGTGGTGCATTGTCAGCTCACTGCAACCTCCACCTCCTGGGTTCAAGCAATTCTCCTGCCTCAGCCTCCCAAGTAGCTGGGATTAAGGTGCCCACCACCACGCCCAGCTAATTTTTTTGTATTTCTAGTAGAGACGGGGTTTCACTATATTGGCCAGGCTGGTCTTGAACTCCTGACCTGAAGTGATCTGCCTGCCTCGGCCTCCCAAAGTGCTGGGATTACAGGCGTGAGCCAACATGCCCAGCCTTTTCACCTTCATTTTCTAAATATAAAGACGGGAGCAAAGAGGCCAGGTGTGGTGGCTCACGCCTGTTATCCTAGCACTTTGGGAGGCCAAGGCAGGTGGATCATCTGAGGTTCGGAGTTTGAGACCAGCCTGACCAACATGATGAAACCCCGTCTCTACTGAAAATACAAAAAATTGGCCAGGCACAGTGGCTCAAGCCTGTAATGCCAGCAATTTGGGAGGCTGGGGGGGTGGATCACCTGAAGTCAGAAGTTCAAGACCAGCCTGACAAACATGGTGAACCCCGTCTTTACTAGAAATGCAAAAAGCAGCTGGGTGGTGGAGGTGCACACATGTAGTCCCAGCTACTTAGGAAGCTGAGGCAGGAGAATCACCTGAACCCAGAGGCAGAGGTTGCAGTGAGCTGAGATTGCACCATTGCACTCCAGGCTGGGCAACAAGAGCAAAACTCCGTCTTGGTAGGGAAAAATACAAAAAAATTGGTCAAGCATGGTGGCTCATGCCTGTAATCCCAGCACTTTGGGAGGTCAGGGTAGGCAGATCACAAGGTCAGGAGTTCAAGAGCAGCCTGGCCAACATGGTGAAACCCCATTTCTACTAAAAATACAAAAACTAGGCCAGGCATGGTGGCTCATGCCTGTCAATTAAGCACTTTGGAGGCCAAGGCGGCGGATCACCTGAGGTCGGGAGTTCAAGACCAGCCTGACCAACATGGTGAAACTCTTTATTTAAAAACAAAAACTAGGCATGGTGGGGCGTGCCTATAATCTCAGCTACTCAGGAAGCTGAGGCAGGAGAATTGCTTGAATCTGGGAGGTGGAGGTTGCAGTGAACTGAGATTGCAACACTGCACTCCAGCCTGGGCTATACAGAGTAAGACTCCATTAAAAAAAAAAAATTATCTGTGCATGGTGGGATGCCCCTATAATCCCAGCTACTTGGAAGGCTGAGGCAGGAGAATTGCTTGAACCTGGGAGGTGGAGGTTGCAGTGAGCCAAGATTGCACCACTGCACTCCAGCCTGGGTGACAGAGCCAAATTCCGTCTCAAAAAAAAAAAAAAAGGTTTGAGAGCTGGGCACAGTGGTGTGTACCAGTAATCCCAGCTCCTTGGAAGGCTGAGGTGAAAGGATTGCTTGAGCCTTGGGGTTCCAGACTAGCCTGGCCAACACAGTGAGACCTTGTCCCTTGAAAATAGATGAAAATAGTTTGGGAGAAGAAGTATAAAAATACTCAGAATAGGTCCGGTGTGGTGGCTCATGCCTGTTAAGTCCCAACACTTTGGGAGGCCAAGTTGGGTGGATTGCTTGAGCCCAGGAGTTCAAGACCAAACTGTGCAGAAGCAAGATCGTGTATCTACAAAACAAGGTTTAAAATTACCTGGGTGTAGTGTCTGTGCCTGTGGTCGCGGATGTTCAGGAGGCTGAGGTGGGATGATCACTTGAGCCCAGGAAGTCCAGGCTACCATGAGCTGTGGTTGCACCACCAAACTCCAGCTGGGGAAACAGGGAGATCCTGTCTTAGAAGTCAGTAAGTCTGTCTATATAAAATGTAACACCTTGAAATCTTCTATTCAGACTTAAGAAATAGGAAGGAATTTGTATCAGATTTTCCATTTTTAAAACATGGTAACACCAAAGACCAGTTTGTACCTCCCTCCCCGTCTCCCTCCACTGCTTCCATAGTTTTAAACTTTGGCCTTTCAGGTCCAATAAAATGTACCATTGGTTTATACCATTTTACATAAATAGTACTACACTGTACTAACCCACCTGCCTTAGGACTTTTTCATCCTATATACTAGTAGTATAAGAAGCCATGTGGTTATATTAGGTCTGGTTCATTTTAGCTTCTGTACAGAATAGTCACGAATTAGTCACAACCTCTCCTCGGCTAATTGGCCACCGGCTTGTAGTTTTTCACTGGAAACAAAGGGGAAACGTCGCTGCTGAGCCGTCCCTGCAGTGGGATCGCTGGGAGCCGGACCGGGGCCAAGAGGCGCTGGGGCAGAGGGCGCCGCAGCCATCTTCTCCATCTATGAGACAGAGTCGGACCACCCTCCCCGCGGCTATGCCTTCCTCACTCCCGGCGACCGAGAGAGCGCAAGGTAGAGACCACTTCCTACCGCCAGCCGGGCCGCTGTGCAGGGGCGTGGTCACTCCGGTGGGGCGGGGCAAGTGGGGTGGGCCGCCCACGTGGGGACCAACGGCCCCCCTAAGCCTAGTCTTACGGGCAGTGGGAGACCTTTGCAGCATCTGGGAAGACCAGCCTTGAGCCATGCCTCCGTCCTCAGACCACTGCCCAAGATCCGGGATCCGGCATAACCCAGGTGCGGGGCTCCAAGGACACCGCACTTCTGGCCATGGATTTCCATGCAGGAAAGACGCTAGAGCCTGCGAGACCTCGACCGCTGTGAAGAGCCACCGGAGGACTGCGTCCCGTGTCAGATGTGCCTGGCCCGTGGACTGAGCCCGTAGTGTCATCCCGGGAGGCTGATTCAGTTATCCGGGCCTCTTCCCGTGCTCCAGGGCCCGTCACATGGGCGCGGCGTGCACGCCTCCTCTTCCTCAGTAAACCACCGACGGCGTCTGCCCTCGGGGAGGATGAGTGGGACTTGCGTGGAGAGCAGGGTGGGTAGGACCTAAGGGAACCCGGGCTCGCAGGCGTGGGCACAGCAGAGAGCATGGGACGCCTGGGCCTCCTGGTCTGGAGGGGTGTGCGGGTCCGGCCCTGAGTCTGAGCAGCAGCTGCTCCAGCGATATGGGTCTGAGCGCACGGCCCTCCCCTGCCCCCACTCCTGCCCTGGTCAGGCTCCCAGCTCTACGGCCTCCAGAAACTTGTCCTGGTGGGAAGGACATCCGACTGTGGGGAGGCCCTTGATGGTACAAATATGAGTGTCGGGGGAAAACAGTCACAGGCTGCCTCTTGTGAGACCCAGAGCACCAGGGGGCCCTGTCCCCTCCCAGGTCTAGGCCAGGTGGCCACCAAGCTGTGGGTTATAGGGGCCCCATCTAGCAGAGGTAGGAGCTGCAGGGCCCGGTTCTACCCATTCATTCTTTGATCTGGTCCTGCAGGACAGAAGGCAGGGCCTTCAGCTCTCTCCCTCTCCATGGGGAGTCTCCACAAACCCAGGCCTCAGCCAGGACACCACTCCTGCGCGGTAACCAACCAATCACATCTTCGTTTTTCTAAAGCTTTATTTTATAAAATGCATATATATTATACTGGTAACATTTAAAAAATTAAAATAAATTAACATTTTTGTATTCAGCAATCCTGGGTCTGGAGGCAGGAGGAGGGTAGCAGTGAAGGGGTGGCTAAGTGGCTAACCCGTGTAGGGTTCTTCCTCGTCACTGCCGTCGGGCACTGCGTCTGTCCCAAAGTAGCGGTCGCCAAAGTTCCCTGGAGAAAGAAGCAGGCTAGTGTGGTGGGGCTTCCCAGGGCCACCTACCCTGCCCTCATGCATGGCTGAGGGGCCTGGGCAGCCTCACCAATGCCTGGGATGATGCGGAAAAGGTCATTAACTCGCTTGTCCACCGCCGTGGTGATGATTCTCACTCGTGGAAATGCATAGGCCACGGAGTGCACGCCCATCTCTGCCATAAGCAGTGACAGCAGAAAGATCTTGTCCTCGGGCACATCGTGGTCCTGCCGAGTGTACAGGCAGGTCAATCCCACGTCTGCCTGAACCTGGCCCACCTACCCAAGGCCCACTCACCAGGAGCACGCGGACCGCCATCATGGCCGCAGCGCCAGTGGACACGGTGCAGTCCATGAGAATCACGTGGTCATCGCTGATGTCCTTGGGCAGCCTTAGGTAGTGGAGCTGCCGACAGCATGGGTCAGGCTGCAGGTGGGGCTCCCCGTGCCCCCCACCCCCCAGGCTCATCGCCCCGGCCGCCCCGAGGCACCTCAGGCTCCCCAGTGAGCTGGTTGGTCTGGATGAGGATGGTGCCGATGCGCACGTCTTTGCACACAGCACGCAGCGCGGGCTCCATGGTCTCACCAGCGCGCAGGATGGACACGCCGGTGATCTGCGGGGAGGGGAGGCTGAGCGCCCACATCCCGCCCCAGCTGCCTGTCCCGCATCCAGGGGTGCCCAGGCAGGTACCTGCTTCCCCGCGTAGCACTTGCCCGTGTAGTCCTGCCCCTGCGGAGTCTGCACGACGCAGTCCTGTGGGGAGCAGGGTGAGGGTGCCCGTGAGCGCAGGGAGCCCCAAGGCTCCGGGACCCACCTGCCGCCTCGCGGCTACGGACCTGAAAGGGCAGGAAGGAGAGCGCGTGCTCGATGAGCAGCCGCATCAGCCTTTTGGAGTAGAAGATGAACTCGTCGCGACTGGTCTCCTTGTCCCTGTGGGGCCAATGGTTGAGCGGGGGCACGCATGCAGGACGTCCTGTCCCCCCACCAGGTGGGCCTTACCTGATGATGGTGTGCATGCCCCGGACCTGCGGCGTGCTCTTCAGGACACTCAGCGTCTGGGGCAGGGGGTGGCACTGGTGTGCTGAGGCCAGTGCAGCCCTGGGGACAAACCCATTAGGAACACTCAAGAAGGGGTCTTTCCCACATCCTCCCTCCCCACAGGATGGATGTGTGTCACTGCGAGGGGAACACATGGGCCAGGTGCAGCAGGAGGTGCAGAGTGGGACTCGCTGCTGCCTGGGGCTGACCTGGGGGGAGATGTCACCCTCCTGAGCTGCCAAGCAAAGGTGAAAGATGGTGGCCAACAGCCGGGCAGCTCACCATCAGGCAGAAAGCTAGGTGGGTAGGGTGTGAGGGCCCCTCCTGGGCTAAGAGGAAGCAAAAGTGGGCCAGGCACAGGGCGGGCTAACACGTGCAGAAATGGGTGGCTTGGCCCCAGCCTCTCCCTGGGGGAATAACTAAAACTTGGTGGGATCAAGCCCCACCCTGGCTCCTCCCCGAGGTGTTGTGTGGCCTCTCTCTAGAGACGGGGCTGGGGGCAAAACTGGCTAGAGCCGCCTAGCTATCCCACCACGCTGCTCAAGCCTGGGGAGGGCCGGGGCAGGAGCAGGTCTAGGAGCAGAGCAGGGGCAGGCAGGAAACGGGCAGGGCAGAGGCATGAAAGAGGTGGGACAGGAAGCAGAGCAGAAAGGGGGGCGTGGCAGGGGCAGGGCGGGGTACGAGCAGAAAAGGGGCAGGGTGGGGGGGGGAGGAAAGGGGCAGGGCAGAGGCAAGAAAGGGGATAGGCAGGCAGAGCAGAAAAGGGGCGTGACAGGGACGACCAGGAAAGGGGGCGTGACAGGGATTTGGGTTTGGCAGGGCAGGAAAGGGGCATGGCATAGAATGGGGCAGGGCAGGGAATTGGGTGTGGCAGGGACAAGAGGGGAGAGGTGGGGCAGGAGCAGGAAAGGGGCAGGTTATGGAAGGGGTGTGGCAGGGGCAAAAAAAAGAGTCGTGAAAGGGGCAGGGCAGAAAAGGGGCGTGACAGCCGCAGGGAAGGGGGCGGGGCAGGAGCAGGAAATGGGCAGTGCAAGAGAGGGTGGGGCAAGGGGCTATGGGAAGGCGGGGCACACAGCAGCACCACAGAGCACTCTGCTCACATATCCCAACGTAGCTTCCTCTGCTTGCCAGGTGAAGAGCATGTTCAGGGAGGGAACAAGGCAGGAAACGGGGTTTACAAAGAGAAAGGAGAGAACAAAGAGAATGCTGCTTAGTTGGGGAACAGGGCATTCCCTGCAGGCCTAAAGAGGAACGTGGGGTGGGCGGCCACACCCCCAGCCCTGCCTGGCCGTCCCTCCTTCCCCCAAGCAAGGCCTCCTGGGGCTGAGGGAGGTGAGTGGGGCCACGGGCCAACGCTTCTGACCAGACGATGGAAAATGTGTCTGGCTGTGTTCAGGTGTTTTTTTCAAGTTTGAAACCCTGGAAACTTTTTTTCTCAAAACAAAGGCTTCAAGAGGAACCTGACGAGACAAGACTTGTGGGTTCCCTGGCCACCCAGCGGGCCAAGCAGAGACTCATGCAGGCACAGGAGGCTGGCGGATGGGCCCTGGAGGCATTTCCAACATTTGGTAAACTCTCTGGAGCGCCCTGAGCGTGAGGGCTCTCCCACCAGATGGCTCAGCCAGGAGCTTCCCAACCCACAGAAGGCGGGGAGAGAAGGGCAGGTCCGTCATGGCTGATACCCTGCCCACCTGCCCTTGGGGAGGGGCAGTGGGATGCGGCCCCCGCACAGCCCAAGCTTCTTGCTGCCCTGTTCCTGCTGACAGCTTCAAGGGCTGTGTGGACAAAGCTGGGCAGGGCAGGGCAGGGCAGGACCGGGGTGGGCAGGAGGACAGGGATGAGGCCCTCCAGCCTCCAACCAGGGAAAGCTGACTGGTCCCATGAGGCACAGGAGGTACCCCAGGCTCCCTCGAAGCTGGGACATGTATGCAGTCACTGCCCCAAGGGCATAGCAATGCTGGCTCAGGAGAACAGCTGTGCCCTCTGGTGTCACAGAGCCTCCAGCAAAGTCTGGCCAGGCCAAGGTCAAGACCCTGTGACCCTGGGCAAGCTACTTCACCTCTCTGTGCCTCAGTGTCCTCATCTGCCAGCAAGGGGAGGCAGAAGCGGGGCTGGGACCATTCCATAGCACCCCTTCTGTGTCTGGGGAAGAGCCAGCTGCCTGCCTGGCTGGATCACAGCCCAGACCCAGGGCTCCCTGTGGGTGTTGGAAATGCCTCCATCTGTGCAGACAGCTGTGAAGTCTTACCTGACGCTGAGTTCACGCTGTGGCAGCAACACAGGGAGACATAAGGGAATGGTGACTTGTCAGTGACCAGGGCAGGTGGCCAGGCCACCCCACCCAGGAATGGACATGCTGCAGGCCTGCCAGGACAGGGCCAGCCATGGGGGGTGGCAAGCTTCTAATGGTCTCTAATCTGGGGACCACTTGGGTCAGACCTGCAGTTCTGGGCTGGGGCAGTCAGAGCAGGACCCTGGGCTCTGTTCTGCAGGCCTCAGGCCTTCAACATCCTGTTAGGAAGTGTGCTCAAGCCGGCCCAGGCTCCCAGGCCCAGCCATAGAATGCCTCAGGGAGCACAGGACCTCTGGTGGGGGTGTCACTCCTGGGGTGACCCCCTGAGAGAGAGAGGAGCCTAGCCTGACGTGGGACTCAGCAGTGAAACCCCACAGTCCTGGACCAGCAGGTCATCCCTGTCATTCCCAAAAGCTTAGGCTGGGTATGCTGAGTGGGCTGCACCCTCAGCTGGATCCTGAGCACCTGTACCCCCCCCTCAGCTTCCTCAGGGAACCCAGGACCTGCATGGTACAACGAGCTGGGGTCTGGGCTGGACGATCAGGCTGACCAAGCAGGCTCAGGACGCTCAGGGCTGGCATCGACAGGGGACGGTAAATGCAAGGGGATGGAGTGAGCAGGCCACTGAAGGTGGTGGCAGAGGAGAAGCAAGCAGCAGGGCTGGGTCGGGCTCTGGGGTCATGGGACCTGCTGGGCTGCAAGCCACTCACCTCCTCCAGCTGGCTGTGTACATGCTGCACAATCAGATCGATGGCCACCGTGTTGCCACTCCCTGGGGCAGGATTGGGGGAGGGTGACTGGGGGCTGGACTGTTGGCCTGCCCGATGCCCGCCCAACAGGTGGCCCAGCAGACTCACCTCTGGGCACGACGATGTCTGCCAGGCGCATGGTGGGCTGGATATACTGGTCGAAGGCCGGCTTGACAAACTTGTTGTACTGCTTGATGACACCCTCGATGTCCCGGCCGCGCTCACTGATGTCCCTCCGTAGCCGCCGCACCAGGCGGATGTCAGAGTCTGTGTCCACGAAGATCTTCATGTCCAGGAGCTGGTGGAGACGGCCAGCCAGTGAGCAGCCAGTGAGACCACCTGGTCTGTGGGCCTGGCCAGAGCCACTTGCCCCAGGGCACCCTGGCAGGTGGGGAGGGGTGTGGAGGTGGGATGTCGCCAGGGGCTTAGGTGAAGAGGCATAGCATGGTGGCTGGGCACACATGATTTCCTTTGCTTGAGGAAACTCGCACAGACACACTGGAAGAGGGGGCATGGCGAGTTGAGGGTCTGTCCGCACACTCAGCAGTTGGCCCCTTAGAGGCCTTATGGGGGCCGGGGCTGCTATGTGCTGGACAGTGAGGTCCTCTAGGCCTGTGCCAGGGGCAGGACCTGGGTCCTGGGGTCAGGCCAACCTGAGTCACACTCAGCTCTGTCCTGAAGGCCCCTGTGACCTATAGCAAAGTCTCAAACGCACCAGCCCTGGTTCCTCACCTTGTCCCTCAGGACCATGGCAGGGGACGAGAATGACAACATGCCAGGTGTGAGCACGGCCTCAGCCACTGGAATAGAGCTGCTGCCCTAGGCAGGCATACTCTGCTTTGTGGGGACAGCAGACGGCCCCAGCTGTGCCATGCCTGGGGTCGAGGTTGGGGTGGGGAGTGGCTGGCCTAGGCCTATAAAGTGTGGAGGCCTTGGGGACGGGGCAGGAGGACGCACACCTCAGGGACAGGGTAGCCGAGGCCGAGACACCAATGGAGTGGGCGTTCCCGGCAGGTGCTCACCTCCAGCAGTGTCTTGTCAGCAAAGGCCATGATGCCCTCAAAGATGATGACATTTGCACCATACAGCGTTTTCTGTGAGGAAACCCAGAGCTGTGGAACCCTGCTCCAGTGCCTGTGGCCCCCAAGACCCCCTCTGCAGGGCCCTGGCCTACCCAGTCCTTCTTCCGGCTGTGTGTGGTGAAGTCATAGATGGGCACCTTGACGCTCTTCCCCTGCTTCAGCTTCTTGAGGGTGGAAATGATGAGGTCAAAGTCAAAAGCGTCCGGATGGTCAAAGTTGAAGTTGTTGTGTGTGGCCTGTTCCTGCTGCTGCTCAGTCAGCACCTGGTGGGGGAGGCTGTGGAGTGGCTGCGGGCACTGCAGGACCCTTGCCCAGTGCCAGCAGGCAGGAGCTCTAGGCCTCCCAGGAGTAGCCACACTGGGGCTCAGAGACCAGGGACCTGCATGTGTGGGGGGCCCAGGGTCAGGGAGAGGACAACGGGGTCCTCGGAGGCGCTCGGCGGGGGCCCACCTTGTAGAAGGAGTCCATGGACAGCAAGACCACCCAGGGCACGTCCAGGGCCTCGATGATCATTCTGGCCACAGTGGTCTTCCCAGAGGCACTGCCGCCTCCCAGGCCTGCCGGGGGGAGTGGAGACCCTCTATGGGGAGCAGACGGGCTGGCCGCGCAGACAGGTCCTGGGCTTCCCTCTCGCGCTCCACGCGCACTGGAGGGAGCCCGAGGTGGGCGCCGGGAAGTAGGTCCCCACCCCACCCGAGGCTCTCACTGATGGTGAAGGCACTCGGCAGCAGCAGTGCCCCCCTCCCCCGCCCCGCTCTCACTGATGGCAAAGGCACCCGGCACACCCTGCTCTCACCAATGGCGAAGGCCTCTTTGGACTGTGCACCGTGCTCATTGTACCAAGGTGGCCGTCCCGCTGTGTAGATAGTGCGTTTGCTGGTACGCAGCAGGGGGGGCTCCGACTTGCACTGGCTGGTGGTGCGCTTCCGGGGAGAGCGCCCAGCGCCCACAGGTGGCAGGAGCCTGTCCAAGGACTCTGCATTGCTGCTGCAGAGAGGGATGTGCTCAGATTTGGCCCAGGGCTGCCCACCTTCCAGGCACCTGTTAGTGTGGCTGGCCCACAGGGCACCCCTCGTGCCCCCCAACAGGCAAGGCTGAGGTGGGCAGGCTCATTGGGGTGAATAAGAAGTCTGCCTGGGCTGAGCACTGTGGCTCACGCCTATAATGTCAGCACTTTGGGGGGCTGAGGCAGGTGGATCATTTGAGGTCAGGAGTTTGGGACCAGCCTGGCCAACATGGTGAAACCCCATCTCTACTAAAAAAAAAAAAAAAAAAAAACAAAAAAACCCAGGCGTGGTTGCAGGCACCTGTAATCCCAGCTACTAGGGAGGCTGAGGCAGGAGAATTGCTTGAAAACCCAGGAGGCAGAGATTGCACTACTGCACTCCAGCCTGGGTGACAGAGCAAGACTCCACCTCAAAAAAAAAAAAAACAAAAAAAAACACCCTGCCTGCAGTTGGGCCACAGGATACACAGACAAAAGTGCTCAGCCTGGCACAGGGCCTCAGATCATCACTGTCTACACAGCAAGGACAGAGGAACAGCAGGCAAGGACAAGGGAAGGAGGAAAGGCACTCTTTTGGGGCCATGCTCCTTCTGCTGTGTGGACGGGCACTGGCTGGGCTGGGCCAGGCCTTGTCCCCAAGGGAACTCCAGTTGGGAAGAGAAAGGCAGGTGAGACCCCGAAGTTGACCATGTTCCCTTCAACCCACCACACTCTCTGGGCAGCCAAATCGCTGCCATTCTGAAGGCTGGGTGCCCAAGGAGATGTGAGGGCAGCGTGTGGGTGGAGGTGAGGCCAGACCAGGCTGTGTGCACACACCCAGGGTGAGGTCCCCAGACACGACCAGCCAGAGGGCTCAGTGAGGACCTGATCCTCCTGCAGTGACAGGACGTGGTACAGGGTGGTGCCACAGCCTGGCCTCTCTGGCTGTCAGAGTGCAGGATGGGGGACCCTGGGCTGGGAGCCTTATGGGAACCCCATTCATTCTTGCTGTGGCCCCCTTGGGTTCCCAAGATAGAAACCTCCAGCATCCAGCAAACACCAGAGACGAAAGTGCTGCCACCTCTCTGGGCTGCCTGGGAGCTGACCTGTGAGCCTGCCTGGGGCAAGGGGGCACCCCAGAGGCTGCCGTGCCTCTCAGAGATAGGCAGGTCTGTCTGTTTCCACACCACCTGGGGAATAGTGAGCCAGACAGCCTCACCTGGCCTCCCTGCAGCTCTGGAGATCGCTCTGGGGCTGAGCGCTGACGTAAGCAGCAGGGCTGAGAGCAAACAACACAGCCAGGCGCCAGGACAACCAGGCGAGGGCCTGGGGACAGTACCGCTCCACCAAGCACTGAAGGGGAGCAGGTGCCATGGCACCACGCCGTGACCGCATCGGGGCTGCGGCTGGAATGGGACCTACTCAGGTCTGCCTGAACAGTCATCCATCAAGAAGGAAGATGGGACCCAGCAAACAGAAGCCACGACCGCCCAGGAGCCCAGACACTACCAGCACACCAGCAGTAAACAAATGGGCCTGCAAGGCTCACCCCCAGGAGCCACCCCTCCCAGCAGGTGGTGACCCATGGCCCACAGCTGGGGAGGGTGGTGCAGTCCTCCTCAGGCTCCAGCAGCAGGTTCCCAGCAGACAGCAACACTGGTGGCCCTGGGGGCCATGGTGGGCAAAGAACACATCCAGGCAGCCCCCTCCCCTCAAAGCTTAACCCTGGCATCTGCAGGGAATCACCCAGTCTTTAACCTCAGGGAGGAAGCTCCAACACAGACAATCTGACTTGCAAACGGGCAGGGCTCCCCAGTTAAGCTCCCAACGCTGCCCTTGCAGCTGATGGTACTTCCTCCACGCACCCTGGATTCCAAGGGTGAGCCCGCTATCGCATGAAGCTGGGACTAACTCGAGGGACGGAAACCCAACAGCACAGGCTGGGCTCACATGGTGCTGGCTTCCCACTGCTGGTCTCCCGATGCTCAGGCCTCCCCAGCAGGAGCCTTCCAACCCTGCCTTTGTGACTCTTCCTAATCTCACTGAAGTAACAACCCGTCACCACAGATCCCTCCCAAGGTGCACGTGGCTGACCGCCAGGTGCTGGCCCTTCTGCTGGGAGCGGTGCCCATGCAGTGGAACTGTCACAAGCAGGTCAGGACAACTCTGCCAGAAACCCCCTCACCGCAGGCCTGTGATGGCATCAGGCCAAGTCTACACAAGCCAGCCCCTACCTTCTCCAAAGCAAGCCTGTCTCTGAGAGCCAACGACAAAGCCTCACCCCATTTTTCCTAAGCAGCACCCCTCGAGGGGAATGTTGGCCAGGTGTGCTGGCTCATGCCTGGCATAGCCCTTGTGAGGCTGGGGTGGGAGGACTGCTTGAAGCCAAGAGTTCATGACCAGCCTGGGCAACATGGGGAGACCGTCTCCATACAAAAAAACTTTACAATATTCAAAATAAATTAACAAATAGATATCGGACAGGAGAAAGTTCCACAGCAAACCTCATTTCCTGTGGAAAAGGATGCTTCTGGCCATGACGACAGAAGGTCAATTCCAAACCAGATGGTTTGGAGCTGTAACCAACACGAGAGGCACACCCAGAACAGCAGTCCCATACAAAGCCGCGTCTTCAACCCCAGCTCTGCCCGGTGCCCAAGAGCACCTGCCAGCTTGATTGATTCCTGATGTCCACAGACATGCACCGAACACAGGTCTGAGTGGCCAGGACCACAGCACAGGTGGGCACCTCTCACAGCAGAGATCTCCTGCCCAGACTCACCTGCCTTCTGCTCCAAGGGCCCGGCACCCTGAAATCCTGATGCCAGGGTAAGCTGGGGGGCTGCTCATGATGGAGAACACGGGTGGGTGCTCCTGGACAGCGAGTGGCCCCAGGGGGTGCGTGGGGCTCAAGCGAAGGCAGTTGTGGGGGGCATCACCACCTCAGATCCACAGCCGTCCCCTAGGGCAACTCAGGAGCTCTGGCCACCCAAACTGCCCTTCCATGGGCAGGACTAGTCCTGTGGGCAGCACAGTGGGTGGAGAGCCGGAGGGCTGGGGTAAGACCCTTTGCTGGCAGAAGCTGCCTGCTAAATGTCAGCAGAGGCACAGCAGCTAGGAGGCTCTCGAGCCCCCACCTTACTGACAGAACGGTGCTCACTGCCGTCCTCAGAGGCCAAGGCCACGGGTCTAAGAGGATCACACAGCTGAGGGCTTGTCCGTGCCGGATATTAATAGCGCTGGCTTTGCTTGGTGTGGCCCGGACAATCCTCAGGCCAGCCTTCCGTGTGAACTGACCCCTCCTGTGTGTGGGCTAGCATACCCAGCCTGCAGAGGACCACGCGGAGGACCACCGTGTGCCTGCACCCCTCCCGGAATTCCTGGAAAAGGCTACCATCCCCTCCCTGCCTGGGGCTGCAGAGTGAACCCCCCAGAGCAGGACAGGGAAATCTGAGGCGCCTCTTGGCCAGGTGTCCTGAATGTCAGTACTGAGCTGGGCACCCCACCCCTATTCCCAAAGTGCTTCCTACAGGCATAAACAAATCTGAAACTCTATCCTCTGGCACCATCTGAAAATAACTGCCCAGTCCCACCCCCACAAATGGAGGCTCCTGCAGGGACCTGCAGCCACCCAGGGCACAGCAGAGCACAAGGGACGCAGCCACCTCCCCGCCCACAGAAATGGGGGGTTGGGTGGGGTCATCCCCACTCTCAGCAGAGTCAGTGTGCACAGAGAGGTCCTGGCAGCCCTAAGCCCTCTCCCGGGGTGGACACATCAGCTACGGGTGTCAGCTTCCTGCTGCCACATGTCTCTCTTGGAGCTCCTAGAGACAGGGTGCTGACTCTGTGTGGAGGTCACACTCCTGAAAAGTAGGCCACTCCTGGAGCTGCCTCAGAGGCAGGACTGGCCCATCTGTCTGTATCCACAGGAGCTTCCTCTCCTCCTGCTGCTGGAGGTGGTTAAACTCTTACCTGGGAAGTGGGCAGAAGACAGCCCAGAGCCCAGGTCGGGAGGCAGAGGCTGTCCTGAGCGGGGTGCAGAGTCTGGGCTCCTGGGGGCCATGTCACCAGCTGGGCGGTCTCAACAGCAGAGTGGACTCAGGCTGGTCAGCCTGGCATGGGCATGCACGCTGGGTGCCCCAGAGGCAAGGCTACAGGTCTGTGGAAGCCAGTTCTGTGCTGTCCAGGCAAGGGATGCATGAGCCCAGAGACAAAGCTGTGAATGGAAGCACGAGGCCCCGCCCTGGAATCGTGTCACCTTGCTGCAGCCACGTGGCTCCCAGCATGCCCCTCCAGGAGGCTGCACTTGACCACAGCAGCCCACGTGGGGAGGGGCCGCCAGCCCTGGCCCTGTTCCCAGGTTCTGACCCGAAAAACTGGAAGGGCCAGAGAAGCTCATTCCCACCCGACCCACAGGTGCTGATGCTGCAATGGGGTTAGCATTGCCCAGGGAACCTTCTGCCTGAGGCTGCCTCCTTGCAGGTGGGGCTGTCTGAGGCTAGTGGTGCTGGAGGCTGCCTCAGCCACTGCAAGGCACCCCTTACCCCTCCCTCACCTTCAGCCAGCCATCCTACCCTGGGCCACAGCATAGTCGAGTGTGGCTCAGTCCCCTCCACGGAGCCACAGCTTGCCTCTGTTTCCTCCTCAAGGACAATGGCAGGTACACTACAGGGGGGTCGGCTCATGAAGACCAAGGCAGACGCCTCATCAGCGAAAAGGGCCCCATAAGTGATGTCATTGTAAAGAAATAAGCACAGGCAACTGGGCATGGTGGCTCACACCTGTAATCCCAATACTTCGGGAGGCTGAGGCAGGTGGATCACGAGGTCAGGAGTTCAAGACCAGCCTGGCAATAGTGAAACTCTGTCTCTACTAAAAATACAAAAAATTAGCCAGGCATGGTTGTGCACACCTGTAACCCCAGCTAGTAGGGAGGCTGAGGCAGAAGAATCATTTGAACCAGGGAGGCGGAGGTTGCAGTGACCTGAGATCACACCACTGCACTCCAGCCCGGGTGACAGTGTGAGGCATGTGTAGAGACTTGGGCAGGGCTTCCCCCCCCACAAACCACCAACCACCCACAATGCCAAGGAAGCCAGAAGCAAACATCCAACAGCAGGGAGTGCGCGGCATGTGAGCCCGATACTGAGAAACAGCTGCAGAGGGAGTGTGGACGGGGAAAGGCTGGGGTACCCCCTTGCTGTGGTGCAGGGCTGTCGTACCACCCTGGGGTCACTATAACCCACCGACCTTCCTGCTGGGTGCCGCCTGACAGGTCAGGCTGAAGGGAAGTTTGCTGGATAACTAAATAGAGGCCGGAGGCCAGAGGGAAGAGGAAGCAGGGAGGAGCTGACCCCACTGGTGCTGGACTGACTCAGGGACAGAGCCATGAGGGCAGCTTTCTCAGGCTGGATGAGCACTGGGGGCTGGGGGCTTGCACAGGCCCACCCACCACTCTGGAAACCTTCGCCAAGCAGGACCTGCTCTGTATGGTCATGGGCAGCCTTTCTCTGCTCCCCACAGCCACAGCCCCAGACTCCATCTCAACCACAGCCACGAGTCACTGCTAACACCACAAAGTACTGGTTCCTGCACCAGCATGGGCCAGCTCTGGGGCAGGTGCCCAGGGCAGAGTCACCAGTGGCAAGCAGACAATGAACAATGGGCAAGATGGACAGACTGGACCACCAGGCTGGATGATGTGGTAGGAGGAGCCGCAGACCACGGGCACAGACCTCTGAGCTGAGGGCAGCACCAGAGGTTGAAGCAGGAGCAGATGCAGGAACTTTGGGGGCGACGCTCGGGAACAGTGAGAAAAGCCCAGGCTGGGGCAGAGGAAGCCCTGGATGGCACAAGCATGAAGACACACACACGGCACAAGCATGAAGACGGCACAAGTGCAAGAAATTTGCCTAAGAAGACACGAGGCAGTTCCAGGGCAGACCGGGCCCTCAGAGGAAGGTGCTGCAATCTGTATTAGCCTGCAGCTTCCCTCTGTCCCTTGGTAACCACACCAGAGAACGGTAACAACAGTCTCTGCCTCCTGTGACACCGTGAGGGCCACTGTGCCCAGCCCACAGCCCATGCACAGGGCAGGCCCAGCTGACTGCTGCCACCAACCTATGTCATCCCGGAGTGCATTTCTCAAGAGCCCTCAGTGCTTACCTAGTGTTGGCCTGCCCCATCTTGGGTTAAATCAAAGTCTCTTTGGTGGCCAGGCGCAGTGGCTCACACCCGTAATCCCAGGGAAGAAGAGGTGGGCAGATCACCTGAGGTCAGGAGTTTGAGACCAGCCTGGCCAACATGATAAAACCCCTCTATGCTAAAAATACAAAAATCCCCATACGGGCATGGTGGTGCAAGCCTGTAATTCCAGCTACTTGGGAGGCTAAGCACGAGGCAGAGGGTGCAGTGAGCAGTGATCCAGCCACTGCGACAGAGTGAGACTCCATCTCAAAAGAAACGAAAAAAGCCTCCTTGGAACCCACAGAGGAACAGATCAGGTCCTATTAGACTCCAGCCATGCAAAACTCCTAGTCACTGCCCACTGGGAGGGTGTGGGCCTGAAAAGACACAGGGCCAGGGAAAGCTCTTTCTGCCCAGCAGCTCCTGGAGGAGTGCTACCCTGTGCTGGGACACTCTTCCCCCTGCGGCACCCAGCGCAGCCCATTCCTGAGGGAGTCCTGGCTCACGGGTTTCTAACCAGAGTCACAGCCTGAACCCAGGCAAGAGGCGCCTAAGTGGGAACAACCTCTACCCTGGGGAACCCTCGGGCTCCCCAGGGGACACGTCAGACCCGGAAGGGAGGAACAGCGCCCCGGGCGCCTCCTGCTGCCCAGGGCACTGCGCGGCCACCGCCCTCAGACGGTCGCAGCAGCAAAGGCGCCGCGCAGGGCCCCGCTCACCGAGGGGCCAGCCGGGGAGACGAACCCGGGTGGGAACTGGCTCCTCCGCTGCACCCCCACAACTTCCCCTCTTCACGCTCTTGCAAAACCCCAGCAGAGCAAAATCAGAAGGCATTGTGCGCCGCAGCACCCCGAGTCCCGAGCCGAAAACAGATCGGTTCGCACAGTCGAGTAGGCACAAGGCCCGCTGGGTGCTGGAGACCGAGGGCCCCACCCACTCGGGGCAGAAACCAAGGTCAACGCGGGGGTGCGCGCCCGGGCTCCTCCCCTGAACCCGGAGGAGCCTGCCCGCTTGCGCCAGGTCCGTCCCACCGGCCGCTACGAGGCCGCGGGGCCTCGCCCGGCAGCTGGGAGGACCGGGGCGCCGCGCGGCCTCCGGGCGTGGGGGACTCCGGCTCGCAGCGAGACAGATCGCCCGCCCAGCTCCGCCAGAGCTGCCGCCCGATTCCCGCTCGCCGGTGGACTGGAAGCGGCGCCCACGCCTACCGGTCCTCGCACGAGGTCTCGCTCTTCTCAGCCTGACGGCCTGGCGGGTCTCGGGCCGCGGGTGGCGATGTGAGCGAGGGGGCGGCGTCCGCGCGGGCTGGGGGCGCAGCCATGGCGTTGGGAGGCGTCTCCACCGGCTTGGCCAGGCGGCGCGCGTGGGCCGCCGGGAGCTGGTGGTTCCCGCTCCCGCCCACCGCGGACTACAAGCCCCACGCGGCAGCGCGCCCCACCTACCGTAGACTACAAAGACCATAAGGCTCTGCGTCGTGGACTACAAGCCCCATAAAGCCGCACGGCGGGCACGCGGGACTGGTAGTTCGGCCGCCGCCGCCACTTGGCGGGAGGACCCCGCCCCATGCGTTTCACCACAAACTCAGCCGCACAAAAACCCTGGAAAAAAAATCAATAAACATTTATTTGATACAGTCATTTCAGTACATACAGTGATGGCCCGTCCCCACGCCATTCGGGACCAGGGCGCGGGGCGGGGACGAGGACCGGGGACAGATGGTCACAAGGCGGGCGGGGCCCGAGCTCACCGTCGAAACATCTCGCAAATAAACACTTTGTAGATAGAATATATATGTATATATATATGGTTACAAGTGATAGCTGGAACCTCTTTCAAAATGCACTTATGTACTGAGAACTGGCATTAAAAAACCCAAACCAAGAGACCGGAAGCGCAGGACGCGCGGCCGGGAGGCAGGGGAGCGCCTGGGGCCCGCCAGGCAGGGTGCACGGGGACGGCCCCGCCCGGGGTCAGGTTGGCCGGCTCCTTCCCTTCAGCGCCACCAGGCAGGAGGGTCGACGGTCACGCAGGACGCACCTCACCTGCCTCTACAACAGCAAATAAAGTGCATCCCACTTTCGTGAGTGTCGGCCCGGTGGGTCAGCCCTTCCGGGCCCCTTCTTCTCCGGGCAGGGGCGTGCGCCGAGCCCGAGGTAGATCTGCAGAGAGGGCCCCGACTGGGCCGGCGCCCACCACGCCTTGGGGTCTGTCCTGCCGGTCCCTTACTGACGGCTCCCGGGGGCAGACCCTGCTGAGCTCCACCCAGGGCCCTACCCCTTGGGAGGTAGGCTCTGCAGACCAGCATGTGTGAGAAGAGGGCAGAAAGGATGGGTCAAACCCAACAGCCACATCTGGCAGCAGCCCCCACGCCTACCTTAAAGACAAAGGGGCTTAAAGTGCTAACATCAAGTTACCCAGGACTCCCCTTCCCACACGAGGGACTACTTGGGGGCTTTGGGAGCGTCCCGGAAACTCGCCCCCAGCAAAAACCAGACCCTCTTCTCTCCTCCCCAAGGGCCAGGTACCTGAGAGGCTGGGGCAGGCGCCACACCCTGCAGAGGTGTTCAGGTCCAACCTCCTCCTGCCATTGGTTGCCAGGCCAAAGTGCACCTAGGCCCCTCTGCCAGTGCTTGCTCCCTTCCCCTCGTGAGGCTGCCCCAGCAGCAGCTGCCAGACCCCATCCTCCTCCTCTTCCAGCTCCAGCTTCAGCTGCACCAGTGCAGCTCTGGGTTGCAGGAAGGAAAGCCTCCCCTGACCCCCTGTCGCTGGGTCGCATGCACTCTGTCCAAGCCTCCATCCTCTCATGAGGCTGCGGTGTGTGTGCGTTGGGGAAGTCCAGGTCTCCACACTCCCTCCCTAGCACATCCAGCCAGGGCTGCTGAGGGTCAGAGCCTTGTGTCCCAAGGATAAAGCCAGAGACAGGAAGTGTACCACAACCCCAGTCCCTGAAGTGCTCCTGGGACTTGTCTCCCCACTCCTCCAAGCCGAGACCAGTGGGGCCTTCTCCCTGGGGGATGGGTGAGGGCGGGTGCTGGGGGCAGAGGCAGTGCCCAGTACTGCCTCCCTGAGCAGCAAGGAACTCAAACCCCAGAGGTCCACGCCCAAACCCCAGGCCCACCATCTGCATCAGGAAACCCTTAGCACCAAATGTCAGATTGTTGTGAGATTTTGTATAAAAAACAATTTAAAAAAAAGGTTGTTACTTGTCACAGCAACAAGACTGGCATCCACTACACCCAGGAGACACACGCACATGGGCAAACATCAAAATTCACATTGTCCAGGGTCAGTGGGGATGAGCCCTCAGCCCACTCCCACCCACCCTGGAAAATGGCCTCCCTCCAAACCCACCCCCTCTGAGCCTCATTCTCCCTGCAATGCTGTGGTTGTAAGGCAGGGCCCAGGGAAGGAGCTCTTCCAGGCACCCTGGACTCCCTGCCTGACCCCTGTTGAACCTATAGACCCAGCCACCCTCAGGGCCACAAAGGGGGCAAAGACAGCTCTGGAGCTGCCACCAAACTGCTGTAACTTTGGCCAAGCCCCTCCCTGGCTGGCCTTCAGTTCTCCTATCAAATGACCACACAACCAGAAACAATGGGGACAGGTTAAAAAAAAAAGTGGGGAGGGGGCTCCCATGAGAGCTTGGCCACTGGGCCTACCCCGATTGGCAGACAGTAGGCTGCCTTTCCCCAGTGGCCACTCAGAGCCAGGCCAGCTCTGCCCAGCTTCCCACCCCACAGCCCAAGGGTTCTGGGAGAACCCCAGGGCCCAAATTAGTCCATCCCTACTCGGTGAGGCTGCTCCAACCTAGGCCTGCAGTGCCCAAAGGCTGAACACTGGAGGCAGAGCACACTCCAGGGGCCCTGCATCTTCAGGGCTGGTGGCTGTGTTGGAGGGCATCAAGCTCCTGCTGCCCTGTAGGTGCCAGAAGCAAAACCCCTCCCTTACCTCAAACTAGGGGCACTACAGACAGGCCTGTGGGGCAGGGCCTGAGCACAGCAGGGATTGCAGTGACAAAGGAGGGGCAAGGGTGGGGGGAGGGGACCAGGCCTGGAGAGGTAGAAAATAGAAGCAGGGGGACCAAGTGGGTGGCTGAGGGTGGGCAGGAGCTGGTCAGCTCAGCATGGCAGTGGTCAGACGGGGGTCTGTCCTGGGAGGTAGCTGGGGGTGCTGGAGTTCCAGTGTTAGGGGGAGGTGAGGCCAGGATGGTGGCTGCTGGCTGCCAGGTGGCTCAGGTGCCCTCACCAGCCCAGAACCACGGGTTACCAGGGATGTCTGAGCCTTGGGGGAGCCAGGGTGTGGCCCCAGCAGGGCCTGAGGAAGCAGAGCAGTGGAGCCAAAGGCCATCTGCCTGCTCTGCACTGCAGCCCCCGTGACACCAAGGCCCCAGACACATTCCCACAGGGAGGGCCCCCCCACCGGCTATTGCACTTCTCCTGGGCACACCTTGGCGAGCCCCAACCCAGGTGTGCCCTGTGGCAGCCTTAACAGGGAAGGGCCACCTTCAGAAACGAGAGAGTGGCTGGCTGCCCCCTCTGGATAGATGAAGAGGCAGGGGTACGGGAGAGAAACTGGAGGACGGAGGTCCTGGGGCTAGCCCTGCCCCGACAGAGCGCAGCGTGGCAGCTGCGTGGGGGCTAGGCCCCACCCACCAAGCTCACTTTTCAGGCGCCTTGCTGGCTCCCAGCTTCCGGCCAGTGGAGCCCCGGGCCCCCTTGTCCCTGCATCCCAGGGGCCAGTCGTCCCGGCGCAGGGGCAGCTTGGGCACAGGCTCCTCCGGGAGCCGTTCCTTCGGCTTCCGGCCCCGCTTCTTCCCGCCTGCTAGATTTTTCTTCTTTTCCTTCTTGGGCACCAATGAGTCCTGGCTCCGGTGTTTAGGAGGTGGGTCTGCTGATGTTCGGAACCAGTTCTGGGGAGAGGAGAGCACTGATGAAGACCTGGGACTGGACGCTGAGCACATGCGCCAGGTGTGGCCTGAGAACTGAAGGCTTAGCAGCCTTCTGGACCAGGCAGGCACCTGCAGCCAGGCTGCCGGGGGCGGGACCGGCACATACCCTTGGGGCGGCTCCAGCTCAGGGTGCAAGCCTCCCAGTTCTCCGAGGGAAGGCGGACCCCACTGAAGAGAAACCACCAGATTTCTCCATGTTGGCCGCTCACTCAGGCACGTTCCATGCAGGCCACTGACCTCCTCTCCACCCCCGAGGGGTGCCCAACCACGGCCCTGGCCCCTCCTGGGCTAGTCCCCAGCCACAGGCCCTGGTGATGGCCCTCGCACCTCTGCGTGGGTCTTGAGAATGTGGTATTTGACGCCACTCTCAGAGCTGAACTCCTTCGGACACAGCAAACAGCGGTATTTCCCCGCCAGGTGGGCCCCCTGCAATGCACGGGCAGGCCAGCCCCCAAAGGTTAGACCCGCCCCAACTCTTGGAGGACCCAAAGCACCCAGATATGCCCTAAGCCCTTAATCATGGCTAAAAGGTCAGGGTCAGGGATGGCCAAAGGAAAGCTGAGCAGTGCCGGGACCACTGGGTTGCCAGAGCTGCAAGGGTGGTGGGAGAGAGGAAAGTCAGGAGAGGCAGGTGCCCAGGGGAAGAGCCACAGATCTTTGCTGAGCATCCCTTATTCCAAGGGAGCGTGCCTTCTGCCTGGATTGGGGTGCCCACTCATGGCCACATGGACGCAGAGCTCCCAGGACAAGACTAGGACCCACTGGCTTATGGTTGGGGCTAGGGGTCAGGGAGGTGTCCTAGGTTGGCCATCAGCCTCTGGCCAGTCTCTGGATTCATGGAAGAGGCAGCCGAGTGGATAAAGTGGGGGGCAGGGCAGGGTCCCACACTATTGTGGGGGGGGCCTGCACTGGGTGAGCTGGGAGCTATGAGTGTGAAACCTGGCTGTGGGGCAGATCCCAGAACTGACCTTGCTGCAGCTGGCAAGATGAGCCTTGAGTCCGGACACGCTGGAGTAGATGGCTTCACAGCACTGCAGGGGAGGCAGCCGTGGGCGAATGCCTCTGGTGGGCACCCCACACCAAGATACACCCCTGCCCTAGCCCAGGGGATCTCTGAGGCCTCTTTGGGGCAAGTGAGGGTGTGTGAGTCCTAGGGATTGGGCAGGCTGGGCATGCAAGGCCTGGGTGGGCTGGGCACCTCCTACAAGGTCTCAACCTCCACTCCTGCCAGAGGGCCACACCCGGGCTCTGTCCCTGCATGGCTCCCCACGCGCCCCACCCAGCTGCCTCCGCTCACATCGTTGGGACAGTTGACGTGGCCTTTCTCCTTCACTTCATTCTTCCACGCCTCTAGCAGCTGGGGGTTCAGTGTGGGGAGCCCTGGCCGAGTATAGTTGAGCTGTGAATTCAACAGCACCAGGGTGAGCCCCAGGCCAGAAGGTACCCCTGGCTGCTCTAACGCTTGCCTCGGCAGCAGGCGATACTCGTCACAGATGGCGGGGCAACGGGCGGCCCAGGTCACGGGTGGCTGTGCCAAGGCTCAGGCCAACGTAGGTCCTGCCCAGAGGCCACGGCGCTTCCCCAGCACTGGGCGGGCAGCTCACCCGGGCGGGCAGCTCACCCGTGCAGTCTCAGGCACAAGGTCGTCCTTCATACGCCGCTTGGTCCAGTCGCGGGCCAGCTCGTCCTCCGCTATCTCCTGCAGGTGGAACACGGCCACCTGGGCCGACGTGCGGCGGACGCGCCCGCTTGGGGTCCGCTCCACACCCAGCAGGTCCTCAGCCTCAGGGGACTTGTCCGTGGGCTCCTCGGGGGGCTGGAGTGCATGGAGGCCAGAGTGAGCCGCAGGAACAAAATGGCAAGAGGCAGGTCAGGTCAGCGCGCGGTGGGGCCACCCCGAAGGCTGGTGGACCTCCAGGCCTCTCAGCGTGCTGAGGACACAGCTGACGGAGCCAACCCCAGGGAACCTGGAGGTTTCACCCTCTGGCCTGCTGGGACACACATCTCGTACAGAGAGGGTGGGAAACACAGGCGTTAGGTGGCACATGGACAGATAGAGCTGGTACCCGAGGCACACACAAGGCACGTAGCACACGAACAAGCGCAGCACCACGGCACGGGGTCACAGCAGAGCCACTCACAGGGGCCGCGTGCTCTGAGCGCACATGGTAGTCATGGCCGGCCTTGGATCGGTATGTCTTGCCGCAGTGGGCACAGGGGAAGGAGGGACTGTCCACCTCACAGGGCGGCTTCCCGCAGCGCCGCTGGTGGTACTGGTAGCCCATGAGGCTGGAGAACGCAGCCCCACAACCCTGGGGGTCAGACCAGAGGACAGGTGAATGGCCAGCAGGGTGCCCCCCCGCCCCACCCCATCCCACCACCACTGTGGCCCCCAGCCCCGCCCCACCCCACCCCACCCCTGTGGCTCCCCGCTCCACCCGTGGCCCCCCCGCCCCACCCCACCCCGCCCCACCCCACTCCACCACCCGTGGCCCCCCCGCCCCCCCCGCCCCACCCCTGTGGCCCCCCCCGCCCCACCCCTCCATGGCCCCCCGCTGACCTCCTGGGGGCAGCGCAGCCGTCCCATCTGCTTCAGCACCTTGCGCAGCCGCTCGCGCTCCTCCTGCTCACCCCCCTCAGAGGCCTCGGTGTCGGAGGGCTGGGAATAGGTTAAGCCTCGGTGACCCACCCCCACCATGGGGCCCTGCCCCGGACTCACCCCACTCAGGCATTGGGCCCCCATCATCCAAGGTTGGGCGCTGAGGGCGCCGCAGTGAAGGCGGGGCAAGGTCAGAGGCCACGGATGGGGGATGGCCCGCAGTACCTTGGCGCTGTGCTCCGCCATGGTATGGTAGTTGAGGCCCGCCTTGGACTTGAACTGCTTCTGGCAGTGCTGGCACTTGAGCGCATCCTGCAGCTGCAGAGGACCCCATGTGTGGGAAGCCTGCCCACGGCTGGGCCTCCCTCCCAAACCTGTGCCTGTCACCAAACCCATTTCGGGCCACTGCCTTACCTTCTGACACACCTCCATGTGCTTCTTGAGCCCCACAAGAGTCTTCCGGGCGACCACGTTGCAGGTGGGGCAGATGGCTTCCCCGTGCTCCTGGATAGCCCGCTGCCACTGCTCCTCGGGGCCGCCTGTGAGCAAGGCAGGGGCCTCGAAGGTTGTGGGGGTCCTGGGTGCCCTGGACGCCAGGCACAGAATCCAGTCTCTACACTCAGCCCCAGCCCTGTCCTGTGGGATCTACCCGCAGTCTAGGGCTGCCCTGGGCCCTGCTGGGCAGCCCCTACCTGGAGCTGGGTGGGCCGGTGCCTCCTTGCTGACAGCGATGGGAGCAGCTGGCACCTTCTTCCGGACATCCTCAGGGCCTGGCCCCTCCGGTTTCTTTGAGCGGTGAACTCGGGCCTTGTCCTCAGCTTTGACCAGGCCTGTGGGCACACAGGGGATGGGGCGAGGCAGGGGTGGGCTCAGGGGCTGTTCAGTGGACACCCCCAGCCCCGGAGGTGCGCACAGGTCGGGGGGTCTTACCTTTGAGCCCAAAGGTCCCTGAGATGGATGGCTGCTCCCCTGTAAACTTCTTGGGTGTTTTCTGTTTCCTTCCTGACTCGGGGAGAGAAAACGAGGGCCAAGACTGGTCAAATAACCTTCAGGAGGCGGAGCCGGCCCTGGCCGCTGCCCCTGGGGCTTTCCTCTTACTGTGCTTTGTGCGCTCAGGGTCCTCCTCAGGTGGGGACGCAGGGCCCGAAGCTCTCAGTGCCTCTGGGCCCCCTGAGGGCCTGCTGCCCAGTGACAAGGAACCACTGCTGGTGTTTGCACTCAGCTGGAAGGCAGAGCTCTGGCCCATGGTGGAGGGGCCGTACTCCCCATTCTCTGGCCTGGCCTGCTTGGGTGGAATTGGGCAGGTGTCCAGGCTGTCCGCAGCTCTGCAGGGAGCAGGTGAGGTGAGGGCCAGGAGGGCACTTTGGACCCCATTACCATCCGAGGAGCACCCCAACCTGGAATGAGCCCCATTACCTTTTCTTACCACTGTTCCTCCCTGCAGCACGAGGTGCTTTGTTTTCCGACTTGGTCAGCAGCACCATTTTGCAGGGCGGTGTGTGTCTGCTGATGGCAATGGGCCTGCTGACCGTCACCGGCTTGCTGACCACAATGGGCCTGCTGACTGTCACGGGCTTGGTAACCGGCATGGGTTTTGTGACTGTCACAAGCTTTGTGACTGTAATGGGTTTGGTGACAGGTACAGGTTTGGTGACTGGCACAGACTTGGTGATTGTAATGGGTTTGGTGGCCGGTACGGGCCTGGTGACCGGCATGGGCCTGCTGATGGTGACAGGTTTGGTGGCCGGCACGGGCCTGGTGACTGCCATGGCCTTGGTGACCGGCATGGGCCTACCGACCGAGACCGGCTTGCTGATGCCTATGGGTTTGCTGACACCCACGGGTTTGCCGATAGTGACAGGTTTGCTCACTCCGATGGGCTTGCTGACCCCAACAGGCCGGCTGATGGTGACCGGCCGGCTGATGGACCCAGGCTTGGGGGCAGGCAGGGGCCGGTCCAAGTGGTTCCAAGTCCGGTGTTTCTCCAGTTGGGTCTTAGAGGTGAATGCAGCCTCGCAGAAGGGGCAGGGGAAGGCCAGCCGATCTGAGATGGCACCCTGGGCAGGTGTGGACAGGTGTGGGACAGGGCCCCAAGGGCCTCTGCGCAGACACACCCGAGGCCTCCTCTTCCCCGACCCACAGTCCCTTACCCCTTGGCACCGCTGGTAATGATACTTGAGCCCGTAGATGCTGGGGAACTCCAGCCAGCACCCTGAGTTTGGACACTTCACCCTCGAGTGTGCCTTGAACTCATCCTTCCAGGCGTTCATCAGGGAGAGCTGGGCGTGGGGAAAGGCGGCGCTGCTGACCTGCAGCCACTGTGCCACCGCCAGCCCAAGCCCCAGACTCAGAGCCCTCCCTGGGCCTGCAGTGTACACACACCACATGAGCTCCTCAACCTCGGGACTGCGGTGGGAATTCAAGCCATTCCGGCATTGGCCATGCACAAGGCCTGTTCTGGGAGCCCACCAATGTGACCCCCGGAATCTCATGGCACATCAAATACAAAGCCAGGCCTCAGGAAGCCTGCCAGCCCAGTGCCCACACCTTAGGCATAGAGTTGGTACCAGATGTGCAGAGGACAGATCAGGCCAGGAGAATGTCTGGACAGGGAGACCCCAGCGTGAGCCCCACCATGTCGCTGATTGATAGGGAGACCCCAGCGTGAGCCCCACCGTGTCGCTGATTGATAGGGAGACCCCAGCGTGAGCCCCACCATGGCCCTGAGGGAGCTCACAGGAATGTCTCGGAGGGTCTGGGTCTCGGCTTTTGGCCGCCCCTTTTTCTTCCCTTCTGTCTTGTCGCTGGCTAGACTTCCTGGGTCAAAGCAGAGAGGGGCTTGGCCGGGCACTGTCTGTCCACCACGGACCACCGGCATCCCTGCAGCACAGAACACAGCAAGGCTGGAAGCCGTGCAGCACTGCCTACTGCTGGGGGCTGCACGGGCCCACAATGAGCACCACTGTCCCAACGCCAGGGCGCCAGGCCAGGGGCTGTGGCCAGCTGAGGACAAGAACCCAGGGCCCTGGACTACATCCAAGGTGAGGCTACCCTGCTTATGTTCTCAGGAACCCCATGGCCTAGCTGGGTGCCTGAAGACAGGACGTCGGGAGGTGGCCCACTCCTATGACTTGCTGCCCAGAACCACCTGGAATCGACTTTGGCTGACTCCTCTTACCCATCTTCGGTGGGTCGTGCAGCATCGGCAGTCGGACCTCCTTTCGGCTGCCATCCTTCCCGGGACCACTCTTGCTGGACCCTGGGAGCCGACGGCCTCCAACACAGAAAGGATCCGTCATCTCTGCAGAACAAGTGGACATTCTGTGAAGCATGACAGGTCCCCTGAGAACACGTGATGGGATCCTGGAGCCCCGTCCTCCGCAGGCCCTCTCTGATCAGGGAAGAGGAGCCTGGCCTCCGTGGTTTTGCTCACATGGGAAAACAAGTGATGGGGGCTTCGGATGTAGGGGGAGCTGCCTGTCAGGGTCTCCTCGGACAACCCAGGAGGCATCGTCAGTTTGGAAGGACCTAGTCCTGTGCTGAGACCCTCACCAACTTCCAGACCCCCTTCCTGACAGGTGTGCAGCTTTGGAGATGCTGCCGAAGCTGACGCACTCCTACCCAGAGCTGGGAGGGGTGTGTCCCCAAGAGAGGTGCCTGTGCAGGAGTAAGGAGGCTGGCAACATTCCTCCGGGGGCCAATTATGTCTCGGGTGATGGCTGCTGGCTCACAGGCTGCCTGGGCCCAGCAGGGGGGCCCACCTTCTCACCGGAGCCCTCATCTCTTCCCAGGCAGACCTGATGCAGTGCCAGCCCACCCAGGCAGGCACCCTTGGAATCCTCACCAGACGCAGATGGAAAACAGTTGAGGTGGGCTGAGGACCCCTGGCCTACTCTGGCACTGCACCTAGCTCCTGTCCCCGCCCTTGGCGGCCTTGTCTCCAGGCTTGGCGGCTGATCTGCCCCCCCACCCCACCTCTCTCTGAAGCCTCTCAGTCCCATCTACTGACCCGCCACCACCACTTCAACCAAACGAGTCTCAGAAGCACCGGCAGTGAAGGCCCAGGTTGCTGGCCAGAGAGAACGTCCTGCTGCCCCAGGCTGGGCCCCTGAGGGCCTGTACTGCTGCAGAGCTGGGGAGCAGAGGAGATGCTGGGCCCAGACCTGTGGAAAGGCCCTGCAAGGGGGTGGGGCAGGAAGCAGGGTGAGGGCTGAGTGGGGAGGTGGCCCCTCCTGACAGCTTCTAATTAACTTGGATCCCAGAGTATGGGAAGGGGCCACTGTGTCCAAAAGGGCCAGAGAGCAGGGTCAGAGGTCAGGACAGTCATCGCCCATTGCCAAGGGGGAGGCCAGTGTCGGGGACAAAGTTCTCTGGAAGGCCTCACTTTGCAACTTCGAAAGGAGACAGGGCCGGCAGGAGTCATCCCAGCCCCTGACGACCCCGGTGGCCTGGGGTGCAGGTGCTTGCTGAGGCCCCACGTCCAATTTTTTTGAAGCCTGGGCGAAGAATTCACAGTAGTGGGACCTGAGGCCAGGGCCAGCCTGGGGGCAGAGACGCGACTCGCGCCCCGGATAAGGGGCTTCGGCCCTCCCGAGCCCAGCGGGGTCACCGAGCCCTGGCGGGGAGAGGGGGCTGGCCGCGCTGCGCGCAGAAGACGCCAACTGCGGGGCCGCCGCGTAGGCCGCTCCGCCCGGGACCCCGGCCCGGGCGCGGCGCGCGGGGAAGCGCGGCCAGCGACGCGCACCTGGGGCCGGCCTCGCCACCCACCTGTCACCTGGGGCCGGGCGCGGGGCGCGGGCCTCGGCCTGGCCGGGCAGGGCCGGTCACGGGCGCGGGGTGGGGGGGCGAAGGCAGTGAACCAAAATGGCGACTTTTTCTGGAGAAGGAGGAGGCAGGAAGACGGCGCCGGCGCGGGGCGCCGGGGCTCGGGCGCGGCGGGGGGCGGGGGGCTCTGGGCCCGGCCCCTTCCTCGGCCCGCGCGCGGGGTCGAGATCGGGCGCGGCGGGCGCCGGGGCTGCGGCTGAGTAGGGGCCGGGGCGCGGCCGGGCGCTTACCTGCGGCGCCCAGCGGGGCTGCGGCCGGGCCGGGCCGGGCCGGGCCGGGGGGCGCGGGGCGCGGGGCGTGGGGTCCGGGCGGCGCAGGCTGCGCGCGGCGCTGCGCACATGCGCGCTCCCGCCCCTCCCACCTTTGACAGTTTTACTGCGCGGGGGAGGGGGCGAACTCTCGCGTTATTCCCGCGGCCGCTTCGCGACAGGGAGGGGGCGGGAGGGGACACCCCGCGCTGCCCCGCGACCCCCCTGCTCGCGGTGTCGCCCCCGTCGGCAGGTCCCGCAGCCCAGAGTAGACAGTTCTGCAGTCCTGGGGCGGGGGCCGTGTTTTGGACAGTGGGGTAAACTGAGGCCCATAGCGGGGCTGGGCACTGCCCGGAGCCCGGCGCGCGGATTGAGGCGGCCTGATTCCACCGCGTCCTGGCCGGCGCGGCGAGGGCGGCCTCGGGGCGCGTGATCCTGACCTCTGGCCCTGGGGGCCGTGCACCCGCTGGGCAGGATTCAGCCTCTTTCCACCTGACCCCCAGCGGGGATCTCCTGGCTCCTGGCAGTGCCTGGCGGCTTGAGGACATGGGGCCTTACCGGGGTCACTGACCATTGGGTCAAGCTTTCCTGGCTCTGGGGGCAGTGGTTCTGAGCCAGTGCCCACGCCTTCTCTGCCCCACAGCCTGGGCTTCTGCAGGGGACACTGGGGTGCAGTGTGGGCTGGGCGGTCCGGAGGTGACCGAGCACTGATAGCACCGGGCTGGGGAATGAATGAGGCACAGAAAGGTGTGCTCTCAAGAGCACCCGGAGGAGGTCTGTGCGCCTTACCTGGGAGGCCCTGCACCGGTCTCGCACAGGACCTACAAGAATTTCCCCCAGGAGAGCCCGCCCACCTTTCCTTCCTTCCCTTCCTCCCTTCTTTTCCTCCCTTCCCTCCTCCTCCCTCCCTTCCTCCCTCCCTCCTTTCCTTCCTTCTCTTCCTTTCCTCCTCTCCCTCCCTCATGCTCTCCATCCCTCCCTTCACTCCTTTCTCTTTCTTTCCCTTATTTTCTTTTCCCTCCCTCCCTCCCTTCCTTCCTCTCCTTTCTTCTTTTCTTTTTTTCTTCTGGAGATAGGGTCTCACTCTGTCATTCAGGCTGGAATGCAGTGGTGTGATCTTGGCTCACTGCAGCCTCTATAACCTGGGCTCAAGCAATCCTGCCACCTAACCCTTCCAAGTAGCTGGGACTACAGATGTGTGCCACCACACCTGGCTAAGTTTTAAAGTATTCATACAGACAAGGTCTTTCTGTGCTGACCAGCCTGGTCTTGAACTCCTAGGCTCAAGCAGTTTTCCTGCCTCAGCCTCCCGCAGTGTGGGCATTACAGGCGTGGCCCACCACCTACAGCTGGCAGGGCCATTCTCACCTGATCACGGTACCTATCTCCCAGGGAAGGCCTCAGGCCTCAGGAGGGAAGAGTCAGGGAGACTCTGGGTTTTCATCTTGTGCCTACAGAGCTTTTTTTTTTTTGAGATGGAGTCTATTTCTGTCACCCAGGCTGGAGTGCAGTGGTGCAATCTCGGCTCATTGCAACCTCTGCCTCCCAGGTTCAAGCAATTCTTCTGCCTCAGCCTCCCGAGTAGCTGGGATTACAGGCGCATGCCAGCCACTATGCCCAGCTAATTTTTTGTATTTTTAGTAGAGACAGCGTTTCACCAAGTTGATCAGGCTGGTCTCGAACTCCTGACCTCATGATCCACCCACCTCAGCCTCCCAGAGTGCTGGAATTGCAGGCATGAAACACTGCGCCTGGCTAGCATTTATTTATTTTTTAACCATGTGCATATATTACTTTTACAATTAAAACAGACTTTTAGGCTGCGGTGGTGGCTCACACCTGTTATCCCAACCCTTTGGGAGGCGGAGGAAGGTAGATTATGAGGTCAAGAGATGGAGACCATCCTGGCTAACATGGTGAAACCCTATCTGTACTAAAAATACACAAATTATGAAACCCTATCTGTACTAAAAATACACAAATTAGCCGGGCGTGGTGGTGCACACCGGTAGTTCCAGCTACTCGGGAGGCTGAAGCAGAAGAATCGCCTGAATCCAGGAGGCAGAGGTTGCAGTGAGCCGGGATAGCACCACTGCACTGCAGCCTGGCAACAGAGCGAGACTCCGTCTCAAAAAAACAAACAACAAACAGACTTTTAAAAGTTTCGCCGGGCTCGGTGGCTCAAGCCTGTAATCCCAGCACTTTGGGAGGCTGAGGCAGGTGGATCACGAGGTCGAGAGATCGAGACCATCCTGGTCAACATGGTGAAACCCGTCTCTACTAAAAATAAAAAAATTAGCTGGGCATGGTGGCACGTGCCTGTAATCCCAGCTACTCAGGAGGCTGAGGCAGGAGAATCGCCTGAACCCAGGAGGCAGAGGTTGCCGTGAGCCGAGATTGCGCCATTGCACTCCAGCCTGGGTAACAAGAGCGAAACTCGATCTCAAAAAAAAAAAAAAAGTTTCATAATGCTTCTTTTTGCATACTACAAACATTCTGGACTCTTTAAGATTCATGTGGGCTGGAAATTGCTAGTCAGGAAATGGAGCTACAAAGTGTACCTCCTTCACTTGGGTCCTTCCAGCCCAGTCGGCACCTTCCCTGTCGCCCCAGGAGAAAGCTCAGTGGCACTGCTGGGGGGCTGGGCATGGAAGAATTGTGCCTTTCTTCAAAGGGGCTGGGATCTGCTTCACTCAAGCCTGGTGCAGAGCAGAGCACTCACATGGAGATGGGCTTTTGTGGAAGAGGCAGTCAGGTGGTCCTTCCCTTGGGAATCTGAGACAGAGAGAGGCCAGTGTGCACCAGCCCATGTGACCCGAGGAGTAAGGGCAGGACATTTCCTGCGAGGCTAGTACCATCATGTCCTTTGCTTGCTGACCTTTCCCCTGGGGATAGGACCAGCAGGATTTCCTGAGGGCCGGTGTGTGTCCCCTTAGGTGCATCCAAGGTGGTCAGCTCTCCCTGTGTAAGCCTGGGTGTCCATTCGTGCGACCTGTTTGGACATTGCCATGTCCCATGCTGGGTGAGGCCAACACCTGTCTGTGAGCATCTGGGCAACTAGACGTCAGGATGCATGGGGACAGTGCGTCTGGATTTCAGCATATATGTGTCTAGGCTGTGACCTGTCTCAGTGTCAGGGTGCTGGTTGATGTCCATGCGTGAGAGGATGGTTGTTTTCTGTGTGCAGCTAGATGCCAGGGTGTTGTGTAATACAGCCTGTTTGTGTGCGTCGGGGACGTGCTGGGTCCCACGTGTTTCTACATATTAGGAGGTCGTTGTGTGTCTGCATGCTACGGTTTGTGTGTTTGTTGATGGTGTGTTTGTAGGTGGGCACGCTACAAACTGTGTAGCTGTGACATACGTTTGTGTCTGTCTGGCCAGCTGCATGCACGTGTTTGTGTTGGTGTTTGCTGGTGTCAGCATTATTGAGTCTCTGTGTATGAGTGTCTGTGTGTGCTGTGTGTGGTTTATGTCTCCGAGTTCATTTTTTTTTTTTTTTTTTGGAGACAGAGTCTTACTCTGTTGCCAGGTGTGCAGTGGCGCAATCTCGGTTCACCGCAACTTCCGCCTCCTGGGTTCAAGCAATTCTCCTGCCTCAGCTTTCCGAGTAGCTGGGACTACAGGTGTCACCACCATAGCCAGCTAATTTTTGTATTTTTAGTAGAGACGGGGTTTCATCATGTTGGCCAGGATGGTCTCGATCTCTTGACCTCGTGATCCACCTGCCTGGGCCTCCCAAAGTGCTGGGATTACAGGCTTGAGCCACTGCACCTGGAGCCTCTGAGTTCTTATGTGTCTGATTGCTGTGTGTCAGGGTGTGTGCTGTGATCTGTGTGTGTTTAAGACAGGGTCTTGCGCCGGGTGTGATGGCTCACGCCTATAATCCCAGCACTTTGGGAGGCCGAGGCGGGTGGATCACGAGGTCAAGAGATCGAGACCCTTCTGGTCAACAAGGTGAAACCCCGTCTCTACTAAAAATACAAAAATTAGCTGGGCATGATGGTGCATGCCTGTAGTCCCAGCTACTCGGGAGGCTGAGGCAGGAGAATTGCTTGAACCCAGGAGGCGGAGGTTGCAGTGAGCCGAAATCTTGACATTGCACTCCAGTCTGGGTAACAACAGTGAAACTCCATCTCAAAAAAAAAAAAAAAAAAAAAGACAGGGTCTTGTTCTGTTGCCCAGGCTGGAGTACAGTTGCGTGGTCAGAGCTCACTGTCCTTGAACTCCTGGACTCAAGGAGTCCTCCAGCCTCAGCCTTCGAAGTGGCTGGGACTACAGGGATGCGTCACCATGCCTGGCTAGTTTAAAAAGTTGTTTTGTAGAGATGAGGTCTTGCTATGTTGCACAGGCTGGTCTTGAACTCCTGGCCTCAAGCGACACTCCTGCCTTGGTCTCCCACAGGACTGGGATTGCAGGCCTGAGCCACTGCACCTGGCCTTCTGTGTTTCTTACGTCAGGATACTCACTGCTGACTTGGGAACCCCCAGCAGATGTTCACAGTTTTTTGTGTTTGAGATGGAACTTGGTTCTTGTTGCCCAGGCTGGAGTGCAATGGTAGGATCTCGGCTCACTGCAACCTCCGCCTCCTGGGTTTACGTGATTCTCCTGCTTCAGCCTCCCAAGTAGCTAGGACTACAGGCGCCCGCCACCACACCTGGCTAATTTTTTATATTTTTAGTAGAGATGGGATTTCACCATGTTGGCCAGGCTGGTCTCAAACTCCTGACCTCATCCACCCACCTCAGGCTCCCAAAGTGTTGGGATTACAGGCGTGAGCCCTGCAACCGGCCAGATGTTCATGTTTTATCTCTGAGTGTGTGAATGGGACCTTATTGGGAAAAGGGTATTTGCAGATGGACTATAGATCTTGAGATGAAGAGATCATCCTGTATTACCCAGGTGGGCCCCAAATCCAAGTCTCCTCCTAAGAGGGAAGCAGAGGGAGATTTGAGAGACGGAAGACAAGGAGGTGATCTGATTACAAAAGCGGAGACGCCAGTCATGCCCAGGAACCCGGGTTCTCCCTGAGGCCACCGGAAGCCTGCGAGGAATCTCCCCAGGAGGTCCCCGGGGAGCTGGATTTTGGACTGCGGCCTCCGGAATTGTGAGAGAATGAGTGTCTGCCGTTCTCAGCACCCCTCGTGGTCCTGTGTCATGGCAGCTGCAGGACTCTCTTGAGTGTGCCTGGGCCGTGCCTTCCAGCGGGTCGGGCGTTGAGTCTAGCCCTCGGGGCCGCCCGCCAGGGTGGCTTTAGTCCCCTTTCCAGCCTCGGTGCTGGGGCGGCTCAGATGCCCCTCGAGGACGCGACGCCACTGCCCCCTGGTGGCCATGGCTGCCCGGACGCCCTCTCCTCGCAGACCCAGCACTTGGGAACCAGCTTTATTTTTGATTTTTTTTTGTCAGGGTATAAAAAAGTGAGCATAAAACAAGGAAGACGAGACAGGCGTGCGTGGGGCAGGGCAAGACAGAGGAGGAGGGAGGGGAACAGAACCGGAGAGCCGGCTGATGGTGGGCGGAATCCTCTCTCGGGGTTCCACATGGGACAGGGATGAGGGTTTCCGCGAGGTGGGGGCTCACGGTATGGGAGCAGTCAGGCCAGTTGTCAAATTCCACCTGGGACCCGCAGTGACCAGCCTCGAGTCTGGAGGCTGGCTGGGGGCTCAGCCTCATCTGTCCCTGAGATTTTCAGAAGCCCCGAGGGTATCAGGAGAGGGCAGGGGTGCAAGAGGGCGGGGGCAGCGGGCTGCCCTCACTGTCCTGCCAGGCAGCACCAGCCCCAAACCACCCAGGGAGGGGCTGCTCGGGCCTCTGGGCAAGTCTAGGGGTAGCAGCCCTGGGAAGGCCTCCCCTCTGAATCCAGGCCTTCTTGGGAAAGTGGGAATGGGAGGGCCCATACGAAAGGCCCTAGTTCCTTGAAGGTGGGAGTGGAGAAGACGCGTGAAAGCAAGAGTTTCCCAAAGACAGGGCAGGGAGCACTGCTGAGCCTGGGCCCCAGGCGTGTAGCCACCCAGACAGGGCTGGGCCCTCATTGTGCCATATTTTGTCTCTGGCGCTTGGTCAGTCTGGGCCTTTCTCAGCTTCACTTCTCATGAATAGAGGGGTGTGGTGAGGATGCATCAATAATGATGAAAGTGCTTGGCATGATCCCTTTGGGTGGGTGCTGATGGCCACTACTCTAGATGATGCCTGCTGGGCCCTGGCAGAGGCATGGGCACAAGCCACAGGGAGCCCAGGCAGCTCATGGCACCTGTGTGGGCCCACCTGGAGGTGCTGGGGAATGGCTGAGAACTGGGCTGGGGGTGGGCAGACAAGTGGCTTAGCAGGCAATGGGGGACAGACATCACATGGGGAAGGGAACATAAATAAACAGACTCCCTGGGAGTCTGGCGGGGACATCGAAACTGGCTCTGGCTCCAGGCAGCTGCCTCACGTGTTGCCAGCAGCACCAGGGGAGGGCTTGGGCTCAGGTCCCAGGAGGTGGGGCCACGCTCAAGCAGCCCTCTGCCCACCCAGCCCCAGGGCACAGCCTGGAGTGTCTAACCAGAGGCGCCTGGAGCTGGTGATCCTGGTGTTGTCCGTCCATTGGGCCAGCCTGGCCACCGGGCCATCTTGCAGGGTCCAGGAGGGGCTATGGGGCCAGCTCTGCCTCCTCCCTAGTCCTGGACTCCAGTCACAGTGCTGGGGTCTGGGGTTCAAGCCTCAGCAGCAGCTAGGACATCTTTCCAAAGGAAGCTGTGGGGTGGAAGAGGGTGAGGAAGGGGTGGGGTCTTTGGTGTCATCTGCATTATGGCCCTTACTGGGGTCTGCAGCCACCCTCCTGAGGTCATTCCACCCGGCACTCAGAGGAGCTTCTCCATCAGCCCCCAGGCCTCTCTGGCACCTCACACTGACCTTGGCTGAGCAGCTGCAGGCTCCGCCCCTCCTCACGCACCTGCAGGCGGAGAACCTGCTGCAGCACCTCCTGCCTCTGGGCCTCCTGGGCTAGCCCCATCCGCTGCAGCTTCTCCGCATTCAGCCGCAGCAGTGCCCGGCCTGGGGAGAGGAAAGAGGGGCTGAGCGGAGGCCAACAGGCATCAAGAGCTAGGGCAAGGCTGGCGCAGTGGCTCACACCTGTAATCCCAGCACTGTGGGAGGCCGAGGTGGGCAGATCACTTGAGGTCAGGAGTTCAAGACCAGCCTGGACAACATGGTGAAACCCCATTTCTACTAAAAATACAAAAATTAGCTGGGCTTAGTGGCATGCACCTGTAGTCCCAACTAATTAACTGAGGCAGGAGAATCACTTGAACCTGGGAGGCAGAGGTTGCAGTGAGTCGAGATCCTGCCACTGCATTCCAGCCTGGTGACAGAGTGAGACTCCGTCTCAGAAACAAGCAAACAAACAAACAGAGCCAAGGCAGAGGCAGGGACTGAGAGAGAAAGAGGGAGAGAGAGGGGAGGCAGGGCACAGAGAGACTCAGAGGGAGAGAGAGGGGAGGCAGGGCACAGAGGGACTTAGAGGGGGAAAGAGATTCAGAGAAACGGATAAAGAGACTTGGAGAGAGGCAGAGGGAAAGGGTGAAGCAAAAGGCAGAGATGGAGCAGAGGAAATGCAGATGGATACAGCACGGAGAGATGGGGAGAGACACAGAAAGAAAGGCAGAGAGGGTGGGGCGCGGTGGCTCATGTCTCTAATCCCAGCACTTTGGGAGGCCAAGGTGGGTGGATCACAAGGTCAGAAGATCGAGACCATCCTGGCCAATATGGTGAAACCCCATCTCTACTAAAATAACAAAAATTAGCTGGGCGTGGTGGCACGTGCCTGTAGTCTCAGCTACTTGGAAGGCTGAGGCAGGAGAATCGCTTGAACCCAGGAGCTGGAGGTTGCAGTGAGCTAAGATTGCACCACTGCACTCCAGCCTGGGTGACACAGCAAGACTCTATCTAAAAAAAAAAAAAAAAAAAAAAAAGGCAGAGAGGTATGAAGAAAAGATTCTGCAAAGATGAAGACCAGAGGGGAGGATGACTCAGAGGAAGATCTAGACAGACAAAAACAATAGTAAGAGAAAGGCCAGGAGTGTGGGGAGGAGGCGCTCGGAGGCATTCAGCCCCTCCCACAGCACCCTCAGCCCTGATGTACCGGTGATGGCGTGCTGTGTGAAGGCTTCCACGTAGACGAGGTAGTTGTGGGGACAGTGCTTCTTGAGCCACTTGCACACGTCCTGCTGGCTCCACAGGACCACAGGCCGGGTCAGGCCGCCCAGTGAGGGGCTCGTGTGGTACAGCCCATAGTGGTCAGAGTACAGCCGGCCCTGCAGGGGAGGGGTGTGGCAGGCAGAGTGAGAGCGGTGGAGAGGGAGGGCAGGGGCGGAGGTGGGTGGAGTGGGTGGGTACCTCGGGGGTCTCTGTGCCCGGCTGCTGCAGGAGCTTGATTGGCCTGCTGCTGGCCGCCCTCTGGCTTCGGGAGTCATGCCACGTGAGGCTGGTGCCAGGTGTCCGAGGCAAGTGGCAGGGGATGCTCTCAGCTGACACCGTGTGCTCCAGGAGTGTCCGGCAGAAGTTGAAGTGGGCAGTGGCTGTGTGTGGGGGTGCCTGGTCAGGGCAGTCAAGGGCAGGGGCAGAGGCTTCCTCCACTTGAGAGCTAGCTCCCTGCCCTATCTCCCCTACACCAGTTCGGAAATCCCTTCCCCAGTGAGGGGTTCCCAAGCCTCTGAAGGCAGAAGGAAGTGTGCAGGTCCTGTTCTGAGGACCTTACCCAGCACAAAAGGTGAAGAACTGGAAACACCTTTCCTCTTGCAAGTCCATAGCCCTCACCCTGGGGAAGCAGGATGGATGCTGCTTAGATCGGAGGATGTGCCACTAGGGAAGGGAATCTAAGACATATGGCCAGGCAAGAGGGGCTATCCTGGAACAGCCCTGACCTCACCCTTGCCTTGGGCTGGCGCACAAGCCTTGCACACATCACACCAGACCAGAAGTGCACACATGACCTGCTTTGAGGAAGGTCCCAAATCTGGGGATATTGTCTGTGTTGGGGAAACCTGGCTGAGGATGCTGCCTGTCCATCACCATCGAAGGCACCCAGTTCATACAGCCCTATTTGGTGTTGGGGCCCAACTCACTAAGGCTCACTGACAGCCTGAACTCTTGGCCAACACACAAGCAGGGTTCCCTCCCCAAACACATGCTGGGCTCTCTGGCTGTGCCACCGCCCACAGGGCCTGCCGAAAACCCAGCCCAGTTCACAGCTGTTCCCCAGCACCTCCAGGTTGGCCCACACAGGTGCCATAAGCTGCCTGGGCTCCCTGTGGCTTGTGCCCATACCCCTGCCAGGACCCAGCAGGCTGACCCATCATCTAGAGTAGTGGCAGGCCCAGGACAACACCGGCCGTGTGAATGGTGGGTACCCACTGGCCATGGGTGGGTAAGCATAGGTATGTGGGGTACAGCCATTGCTTGGAGACCCATGGAGATGCCCTGTGCTCCCTCTTCCTGCAGTAACTACATTAAAGTGTCTCATCTGAACTTTGTCATCATCTCTAGGGGCACTACTGACCTGAGTCTGGGGGAGGCAGACATTTTGATCTGGGTCTTGTTACATGGGGCACCCCACAACATTGTGAATGAATGAAGGCTCTGTATGGTATCTGCAAGTGAACAGAGCCTGTGGGGAGGCAGAAGGTGGACACAGGCCTGCCGCTGTCTTTACAGCACCCAGGCCCTCAGCAGGGCAGGTGAGGTTCCCACGCTGGGGCCCTCCCCTCATGTACCCTCCCTGCCCCACACTCAGCCACCCACTCCACACCCAGGGCAGGGCGTGGGGATGTGTTTAGGAGGTCTGAATATCGGGGGAAACCCACATCCAACTCCCTGGTCCTCCCACCTCTGTAAGACTTCTGAGACAACATCTTCCACCCCAATTATTGCAACTTTCAGGAACCGGACCCCGGGTGACCCCAAATTTGAGGTCTAGGGTCAGCAGAGGGTGTGGCCAGTGGGCCACCGCACCGAGGTAGCCTCTAGTGCTGTGGGAAAAGACTTATTCTAAGCCCGCGCCTTCCAGTGGACATGCGCTGTGGTCTCCGGGCTTTGCGGGGCCTCCAGCGGTTGGGCTAGTGCAGGAGCGCGCGGCAGCCCCTGGAACCCGTCCGACTCCTCCGCCTGCGCTGCACCTGCTCCGGGCAAGCGGGCTCCGCCCATTTCCTGCCCGCATTCCGGGAGGGAGTCCAGTCTGTCCCGCGGCGGCCCATGGCTCCCTCCCGCCCTAACGCCAAGATTCCAGAAGGAGAGGGGGCGGGGGCACCCAGGCCGGCTGTGACCTCCGTCCCCTTTCAGCCCCACGGCGAAGGCTGGGAGGGTTTTCTCCGCGCGAAGGAAGAGGTGGCCGAGCGCAGTGCCGGCGTGGACACAGGCGCCCCGGCTTGTCACCCGCTCATCCCAAGCCAAGGGGGCGCTGACCGGGCCTGAGGCCGGCCGCCCCCCAAAGCAGGACAAAGGCCATGGGGACCCCGCTGGGCCGAGACGTCCTCCGAATACCCACGGCCGCCGCCGCTGCAAGCCCGCCGGGTCCCGCACCCCCCTCGTGCCTCTGGGTCCCCGAGACCCCCGCCCGCGAAATCCCCGCGCCCCGGTCCAGCCCTGCTCACCGTCCACATCCCGGCGCTCCCCGAAGTCCGCGCGCACGGCCCCGGCGCGGCCTCGCGGGGGGCTCAGCTTGGACCTCAGCTCGGTGAACATGGGGCCCGCGGGAGCCCGGCCCGCCCACACGCCCCTCGCCGAGTGCAGGGCGGCCGGTGTGGCCGGCGGGGAACGCGCGCCGCCGCCCCGCCCCGCCCCAGCCGGCCCCGCTCCCGAGCCGGTCCCCGCGGTCCGCGAGTCTGCGCGGCGAGGCACCTGCAGCCGAGCCCTGTGTGCCGGGCGCGCTCCGGGAGCTCCGAGGTGTGTCGGCGGCGCGCGGGCCTGCGTGCGCCAAGGCTATCCGCCAGGGCGAGGGGCGTCCGTGCGCCCCGGGCGCGGCTCCGGGGAGGAGAGGCCCCGTGCACCTGCTGGGGTCCTCTGAGGTCCGGCCCCTCCGTGCGTAGGGATGGGCTGACGGGCATCTTGCGGGGCCTTCTACCCACAGCCAGGAGAAGGGGCAGATCAGCCCCTCCCACATACTGCCCTCGGCCTCCTGCCTCTTTACTCTCCCTGGAATGGGCACCCGCTTCCCGGGGAAACCAGCTTGACTCTTGCTTACCGCCCACCCCACTGTGAACATTAGGGTTACTCTTCCTTCCCTCTGCAGCCCCAGAACCTGGCTCAGTGCCCGGGGGGCGGTGCAGTCCTCTGTAACTGAAAGGGGCTTGGCTGGAGATGGGACAGAGAGGAACTCCAAGGAGGCTGTAGCAGGCTGGAGCGATGTGTTTGCTCCAGGACTCCAGTGAGAAATGCTGGGCTGGGCTGTGATTGGCTTGCTCTGCCCAGGAGCCTAGGTGCTCTCCCTGGGTGTATGCAGGGGATCTGGAGGATGTCTTACAGCAGAAGGAGCAGAAATGCGTGCACAGAGTAGAGTCATGCACGTGTACCCAAAACGAGCACACGTGACCTCAATGTGCACACACCCCACTAATTCACACACACAGAATTCACCCACATGCTTGACAGCCATGTTTATGTACTGACGTGTTCCTGACAGGTCCGCTGTGGTGATTTCGTCAGTTAGCTCTCCGGGAGCTGAGAATGCGGCCCTCACCAGAATGTCCAAGGCATATTGGGGGCCGTGGGTGGGGTCTCTAATCCCGCTGGAGGCACAGATGCCTGAATGGGAGCCCAAAAATGTGAATGCTAAAAGCACAATGTTGCGGGGGTGCCCCTACGTAAAAGCATAGGGCAGCAGCGTGCGCACAGGACGCCCACAGGCAGGTGTGCCCACAGACAGGTGTGCCCATAACCAGTACGCACAAGCTCTACACAACTGCACGGGGTGCGCTCCACTCGAAAGTGATCAGGGCCCGCCAAGGGCGAGGGCGGGAAGCTGGGCTGGTTCAGAGGGAGGGGGCCGAGGGCCCTACTGGCAGACAGGTCTCCTTGGGAATGCATCAGAGCACTGGGGAAGCAGCGATGCCCGAGGCTCAGCTTTTGGGGCCGTCCCCGGAGCCCGTTAGGGTCCCAGTGCAAGCTCGGCCTCGTTCCTCCTGCCCCGCCACGAGGAGGCGCTCCAGCTCACGCGCCTGCCTTGTCCCCGCCCCCTAGCCGCGGCCGGAAGTCGTCAGGAGCGCGTCGGGGCTTCCGCCCGGGGAGTCAAAAGTGGGCGGGCTTTGTGCGGACCGAGCGCTCTGCTTCCGGGGCGCCAGTGACGCGCCAACCGCGACCTCCTCCTACCGAGCGCCTCGGACGTCGGAGCTCGGAGTGTCTGCGTCTTTCTCTCTTCCGCGGCTTCATTCCTTCCTAGCCTTGGTCATCGTCGCCGCCATGAACAAGAAGAAGAAGCCGTTCCTGGGGATGCCCGCGCCGCTCGGCTACGTGCCGGGGCTGGGCCGGGGGTGAGGCCTGGGGCAAGACGTGGGGCGGCGACCCGGCTGGCGGAGCGCAGTGCAGGTGTTTGGGGGCGGGGGTCTTTGGCTGCGCGGTCTGAAAGACACTCGGGGGATCGGCTTAATCCCTGCAGGAAGCCGCGGGCTTTGGGTCAGGACAGACGTGTGTATGCAGCCTGCCTGCTGCATGGTTGTGACGCCCTGGCTGTCAGCCCCAGTGTAAGATGATGCTGTGTGCAGCCTGCAGTGAGGAGTAGTGGAAACGCGGCCGCCTTCCCAGGTCAGGCTGACACCCCCCTCGCCGCGCCTTAAGCGTGCCTGGGTCGGATAAGTGAGCAGTCATTGCTATCCTATCTGATCATTCATTTGATGAGGAAAACTACTGGGTTTTTCTTGGTGGTGATATACTAGAATCTGTGGGGCACACACAAGACTCGGATATTGACTGCGCCTTCAGAGGACCCGAAGCTCATGGAGGGTTTGGTGTTACCATAAATCAGTACGTAAGGAGGATCAGATTTAGAACCCAGTGCTTAATGGAGGGTGTCGTTGGGGCCAAGTTTAGTAGGAGAGCTGGACTTAGGGCTGCCGAAATATGGTAGCGATAGAAGAGAAACTGCCATTGTGTGTGTGGAGAGTTAGAAAAAAGTGAGGCCGCCGGACACGGTGGCTCACGCCTGTAATCCCAGCACTTTGGGAGGCCGAGGCAGGTGGATCGTGAGATCAAGAGATCGAGACCATCCTGGTCAACATGGTGAAACCCCGTTTCTACTAAAAATACAAAAAATTAGCTGGGCATGGTGGCGCGTGCCTGTAATCCCAGCTACTCAGGAGGCTGAGGCAGGAGAATTGCCTGAACCCAGGAGGCGGAGGTTGCGGTGAGCCGAGATCGCGCCATTGCACTCCAGCCTGGGTAACAAGAGCGAAAACTCTGTCTCAAAAAAAAAAAAAAAAGAAAAGAAAAAAGTGAGGCCAGGAGGAAGCCCGGGGAACAGGGGAGTCCAGTGTGAATAGGATGTGCAGCCAGTAGAACAGAGCTTAGGAGGTTGGAGTGGCCTTGAGCCACAGGCTAGAGCTCCTGGAGACGTCGGAAAGACCGTGACCCTTCAGAAGTTTTCAATCAGAGCTGTGTTTTGGGAAGAATCATCTGGCAGAAGATGGGTTGAAGTAGAGGAAGGCTAGAGGCAGGGAGGGCTAACTTGGTTTCCAGCTGTGGTGGGAGTCATAGTCTGGGGAGGAGAGATTTTGGAGGTGGATTCATTAGTACTTAGTGGCAGACAGGATGGAGAGAGTGGGAAAGGGAGGCAAATATTGTGTCATGGACCCACACCCATGGCATGTGGGTCAGCACGCTGAAACACCCCTGAGCAAGCTGTAAGGTGGGCCCAGAAGAGGAGCTCAGTTTGGGCCAAGTTGGGTTTAAGGGCCTGGCTGGATGTGGAGGGGGAGATGATCAAAGCCTTTGGGTGGAGGGATTGCCTTGGAAACGTCATCAGGGTGAGTTGAAACCTTCGGGTAAGTAGAGATCGGTGGTATTTGAGACTGCAGTTCATTGTCACCAGGATCTTTGGAGATTTCCCAGAGGTGTTAGAAATAGAGGTGATATTAAGTGATGACCAGGGGTGGAGAAGAGCCTGGGAACAGGCGCATTCAGATACTGGGTGTCTTGGGGGTCTCCTGCAGTGCCACCGGCTTCACCACACGGTCAGACATTGGGCCCGCCCGTGATGCAAATGATCCTGTGGATGATCGTCATGCGCCCCCAGGAAAGAGAACCGTTGGGGACCAGATGAAGAAAAACCAGGCTGCTGATGATGATGATGAGGACCTAAATGACACCAATTACGACGAGGTGGGATGTGTTGGGCTTCTGTGGCTCCTCCAGCCAGTCTCTGGGAGCAGCTGACCAGCTCCCTAACCAGTGGAGTGGCTCATGCATTTAAAATTTCAGCTATTCACGGGACATCTTTAGCAGAGTGAGAGGGAGCAGGAAAAATACGGAGGAATGTGCACTTTTTATCTCTTCAGAGAGATGTTCTTGCAGATATGAGGACCACTGCCCTGGTATTTTGTATTGGTCAGTCTTTTATCATAAAAACCGAAAGTATTTGGTTTTTTTAGCGTTAGTGGTTGCCCTCTAAAAAGACATCTAAAGGAAAACCTCAGCTGACTGAATACCGATTAACTGTCTTCTAACAGATCACATTTTTCCTCTGAGGAAAATTTTTAAAAATAATTTTAGTTTTGAAATAATTTTAAATTTGCAGGAACTTGCAACAGTAGTGCCAAAAAAAAGTTGAAAAAAGTTGGCCAGGCATGGTGGCTCACATCTGTAATCCCAGCACTTTGGAAAGCCGAGGTGGGCGGATTACAGGATCAGGAGATCGTGACTATCCTGGCCAACATGGTGAAACCCTGTTTCTACTAAAAATACAAAAATTAGTTGGTCATGATGGCACGTGCCTGTAAGCCCAGCTACTTGGGAGGCTGAGGCAGGAGAATCGCTTGAACAAGGAAGTCAGAGGTTGCAGTGAACAGAGATCACACCATTGCACTCCATCCTAGCCACAGAGTGAGACTCCCTCTCAGAAGAAAAAAAGGTTTCTGTGTATCTTTCACCAAGCTTCTTCCCGTCTTACATGACCTTAGCACAGTTATTGAAACCAAGGGGTTACGATGACACAGTACTATTAGCTAATCTCTCTGTTGTATTTGAATTTCGTGTTTTTTTGTGAAAGTCTGTTTTCTGGCTTAGGGCTCAGTCCAGGATCTCTTACTGCATTTTGTCGTGTTTCCTTGGTCCCTTCCAGTTGGAGTGGCTCCTCTGTCTTTCATGCCCTTGATACCAGAAGAGTAGTTACCAGTTACATTGTAGACCATCCCTCAATTTGGCTTTGTTGGCTGAAGAAATAATTTAGCAAGTATTTCATAAGTAGAGATCGTCTCCATTTCTGCTGGTGGGGAGATATTGGAGGAAAAGCTCACCTCTCTACACATGTTGTTTGGTTCTCAGTTTAATGGCTATGCCGGGAGCCTCTTCTCAAGTGGGCCCTATGAAAAAGATGATGAGGAAGCAGATGCTATCTATGCAGCCCTGGATAAAAGGATGGATGAAAGAAGAAAAGAAAGAAGGTAAAAGAAATTGTTGCCTTTCACAATATTTATCCAACTTTAAAAAAAAAGTTGGCTGGGTGTGGTGGCTCACACCTGTAATCCCAGCACTTTGGGAATCTGAGGTGGGTGGATCACTTCAGATCTGAAGTCGGAGACCAACCTGGCCAACATGACGAAACTCTGTTTCTAATAAAAATACAAAAATTAGCTGGACGTGGTAACGCACGCCTATAATCCCAGCTACTCGGTAGGCTGAGGTGGGAGAATTGCTTGAACCCCGGAGGTGGAGGTTGCAGTGAGCCAGGATTGTGTCACTGCACTGCAGCCTGAGTGACAGAGTGAGACTCCATCTCAAAAAAAAAAAAAAAATTTTTTTGAGGCCAGGTGTAGTGTCTCGCATGTGTAATCCTAGCACTTTGGGAGGCTGAGGTAGGATGATAGCTTGAGCCCAGGGGTTTGAGACCAGTGTAGGCAACATTAGTGAGACCTCATCTCTACAAATAATTTAAAAATTAGCCAGATGGTGCCTGTAGACCCAGCTGCTTGGATGGCTGAGGTGCAAGGACCGTTTAAGCCCAGGAGGTAAAGGCTGCAGTGAGCCGTGATCATACCACTGCATTCCAGCCTGGTTGACATAGTAAGACCCTGTCTCCAAAAAAAAAAGAAAGTTTCATTTGCAATTGTTTTATACTTGGAGAAAAGTTGCAAAGTACATGTGTCTCTGCTCGGCTTTTAGGCCACGTAAGGGTCTTGTGCTGTGGTAGCAGTGTTTGGATAGGCACTGGGCTGCTGCAGAACAGCCTCAGGGCCTGGGGGCTGGAGTGGAGAGCTTTAAGAATTCTGGGGATTGCTTTTACTATACATCCGTGTTACCATCTTTGAAAAGGGCATACTGACTGTTGATTATAATCTATTATGTGTTGAGTAATTTTCAAACAAATTAAAGATGTCAGCTGACAGATACAAGGTAATAAGATTGAACCATGAAGAAATCCCAAACCTGAACAGACCAGTAGTAAGTAATGAGATCAAAGCTGTAATACAAAGTGTCCTAGCAGAGAAAAATTTCAGGATCTAATTGCTACATTGCTGAATTTTACCAACTATTTGAAGAAGAACTAGTATCAATTCTACTCAAACTAGTCCAAAAAATAGAGGCGAGAATACTTCCAAATTTATTCTGTAAAACCAGTATTACCCTGATACCAAAACCGGACAAAGACACGTTGAAAAAAGAAACCGACAGGTCAGTATTCCTGATGAATGTTAATGCAGAAATCCTCAACAAAAGACAGCAAACTGTATGTGACAACACATTAGAAAGACCATTCATTGGCTGGGCGCAGTGGCTCTTACCTGTAATCCCAGCACTTTGGGAGGCTGAGGCGGGAGGATTGCTTGATACCAGGAATTTGAGATCAGCCTAGGCAAGAGGGTAGTACCCTGTCTCTACAAAAAAATACAAAAATTAGCCAGGCTTTGTGGCATACACCTATAGTCCTAGCTACTCAGGAGGCTGAGGTAGGAGGATTGCTTGAGCCCAGGAGGCAGAAGTTGCAGTGAGCTGAGATTGTACCACCACACTTCAACCTGGACATCAGAGAGAGGTCCTGTCTCAAAAAAAAAAAAAAAAAAAGGAACATACCTCAACACAATAAAAGCCACATACAGCCGGATGCCATGGCTCACACGCCTGTAGTCCCAGCACTTTGGGAAGCCCAGGCAGGCAGATCATTTGAGGTCAGGAGTTCGATACCAGCCTGTCTCTACTAAAAATCCAAAAATTAGCTGGATGTGGCAATACAGGTCTATAATTTCAGCTACTCGGGAGGTGGAGGTTGCAATGAGCCAAGATCACACCACTACATGCCAGCCTGGGCAACAGAGTAAGACTGTGTCACAAAAAAAAAAAAAGAAAAAAAGCCACATGTGATAGGCCCATAGCTAGTATCATACTGAATGGGGAAAAACTGAAAGCCATTTCTCTAAGATCTGGAACACACAAGGATGTCCACTTTGACCACTGTTATTCAACATGGTAGTGAAAGTCCTATCTAGCACAGTCAGATGAGAGATAATAAAGAGCATCCAGATTGGAAAAGAAGAAGTTGAATTATTCTTGTTTGCAGATGATATGATCTTATATTTGGAAAACCCTAAAGACTCCACCAGAAGACTATTGGAGCTGACAGATTAATTAAAGTTGCAGGCTATGTCGTCAGGCATGGTGGCTCATGCTTGTAATCCCAGCATTCTGGGAGGCTGAGGGTGAGTGGATCACCTGAGGTCAGGAGTTTGAGACCAGCCTGGCCTACATAGAGGAACCCTGTCACTATCAAAAACAGAAAAAATTGGACTGGGTATGGTGGCTTATGCTTGTAATCCCAGCATTTTGCAAGGCCAAGGCGGGCGGATCACCTGAGGTCGGGAGTTCGGGAGATCAGCCTGACCAACATGGAGAAACCCTGTCTCTACTAAAACTATAAAAATTAGCTGGGTGTGGTGGTGCATGCCTGTAATTCCAGCTACTTGGGAGGCTGAGACACGAGAATCGCTTGAACCTGGAAGGCAGAGGTTGCAGTGAGCCGAGATTGTGCCACTGTACTCTAGCCTTGGTGACAGAGTGAGGCTCCATCTCAAAAAAAAAAAAAGGTTGTAGGATACAGAATCCACATACAAAAGTCAGTAGCCTTTTTGTCATCAACAGACGACAATCTTAAAAAAATCAAGAAAGTAATTATATTTACAAGACCAGGCATAGTGGCTCACACCTGTAATCCCAGCACTTTGGGAGGCCAAGGTGGGCAGATCACACGGTCAAGAGATCAAGACCATCCTGGCCAACATGGTGAAAGCCCGTCTCTACTAAAAAAATACAAAAATTGGGTGTAGTGGCCCAAGCCTGTAATCCCAGCTATACTCGGGAGGCTGAGGCGGGAGAATCGCTTAAACCTGGGAGGCAGAGGTTGCAATGAGCCAAGATCGTGCCACTGCACTCCAGCCTGGTGACAGAGTGAGACTCCGTCTCAAAAAAAAAAAGATAGAAATTATATTTATAATGGCTACAAATAAAATACTTAGGAATAAACTTAACCAAAGAAGTAAAAGATCCCTACAGTGAAAACTATAAAACATTGATGCAAGAAATTGAAAAGGACACAAAAAAATGGAAACATACTCCATGTTCATGGATTGGAAGAATCAGTGTTTAAAATATCCATGCTAACCGGCTGGGTGCAGTGGCTCACGCCTGTGATCCCAGCACTTTGGGAGGCCGAGGCAGGTGGATCAGTGGAAGTCAGGAGTTCGAGACCAGCCTGGCCAACATGGTGAAACCCAATTTCTGCTAAAAAAACAAAAATTAGCCGGGCATGGTGGCTCACGCCTGTAATCCCAACTACTTGGGAGGCTGAGGCAGGAGAATCACTTGAACCCAGGAGGTTGAGGTTGCAGTGAGCTAAGATTTCACCACTGCACTTCAGCCTGGGTGACAGAGTGACTCCGTCATAAAATAAAATAAAAATATAATAAAACCATACTGCCCAAAGCAATTTACAGATTCAGTGCAATCCCTATCAAAACAGGAATATTATTCACAGAAATTGAAAAAATAGCCAGGTGCAGTGGCTCACGCCTGTAACCCCAACATTTTGAGAGGCCAAAGTAGGTGGATCACTTGAGGTCAGCAGTTCGAGATCAGCCTGGCCAACATGGTGAAACCCCATCTCTACTAAAAATTCAAAAATTAGTTGTGCATGGTGGTGGGCGCCCGTAATCCCAGCTACTTGACAGGGTGAGTCAGGAGAATCACTTGAACCCGGGAGGTGGAGGTTGCAGTGAGCCGAGCTGGCCCCATTGCACTCCAGCCTGGGCAACAGAGTAAGACTCTGTCTCAAAAAAAAAAAAAAAAAAAAGAAAGAAAGAAAAGAGAAAAAAAAGGAAAAAATGAAAAATAATCCTGAAATGTATATGGAGCCACAGAAGACCCAGAATAACCAAAGCTATCCTGAGCACAAGGAGCAAAACTGGAGGAATCACACTTCAAATTATACTACAGAACTATAGTAACAAACAGCATGGTACTGACAAAAACAGACACGTAGACCAGTGGAACAGAATAGAGGACCCAGAAATAAATACATATGTCTACAGTGAACTCATTCTTGACAAAGGTACCAGGAATAGTTATCGGGGAAAAGACAATCTCCTCAAAAAATGGTGCTGGAAAAACTGGATGTCCATATGCAGAAGAATGAAACTAGATCCCTATCTCTCACCACATACAAAAATCAAATCAAAATGGATTAAAGACTTTTAAGACCTCAAACTATGAAACTAGTAGAAGAAAACTGCTGGGGGAGGTGGCTCACACCTATAATCTCAGCACTTTGAGAGGCCAAGGTGGGCGGTTCAGGAGGTCAAGAGATTGAGACCATCCTGGCCAACATGGTGAAACCCCGTCTCTACTAAAAAATACAAAAATTAGCTGGGCTTGGTGGCGTACGCCTGTAATCCCAGCTGCTGAGGAGGCTGAGGCAGGAGAATCACTTGAACCTGGGAGGCAGAGGTTGCAGTGAGCCCAGATCGAGCCGTTGCATTCCGGCCTGACGACAGAGCGAGACTCCGTCTCAAAAAGAAAAGAAAAAAGAAAACACTGGAGAAGCTTTTTAGGACATTGGACTAGGCAAAAATTTCTTGAGTAATCCCCCACAATCACAGGCAACCAAAGCAAAAATGGACGGATGGAAGCTGCATGTGGCGGCTCACGCCTGTGAGCTGAGGTCACACTGCTGCACTCCAGCCTGAGCAACAGAAAGACACTGTCTCAAAAAGGAAAAAGAAAAAGTTCTCGTTATAGAATGTTAGGAAAATGAGAGTAAGTGTGGGTGAAAGCATAATGTTTATTCATTGGCCTAGAGAGTAACAGTTACCATTTGGTCCATTTCCTTTTTCGGTTGCTTTTTATACATGTAATTATAACTTCCCATGATGTATGTGGAACGTTTTATTTTTTGAAG